CATTTAATGGCGTTCCTAAATTCAAGCTCACGCGAGCGAAGCCGCGGGTAAAAAGCTAGTATATAATATATTTACACTAAAATAAATACATACTCATTTTAAAACATAATTAAAGTATCTTACATATATTATAATAATTAACAGTTTATCACATTATAGTTAACTAGTAATACACAATTTTTTTTTACGAGCATAACAAATTTTTCAACACATCTAGTTAATCTTATTTTGCGTGACCTAACGAGTTATTGTACTGGGAGTTTGACTGCGCTTTGTTTCTTGCTTGTATTTTTAATAGTAAGCGCCTATGAAATATTCTTAAATTACCTTCTGTCTTTTTGTATATTTTGTGCAAGATTTTATATATTTTTTTTTAATAAGATAAGGGTGACAAACGGGCACACAGTCCACCTGATGATAAGTGGTTGCTGCGGCCCATAGACATCTACATCTATCCTCGTTTGCGAATCAAAATGCAGATGCGTTGTCACCCGTGAGGACTAAGATTTCCAGTAAAAAGGGCCTCCGGCCACCTGCACTCACCAAGCGAAACGCAGAGGTAAACCTCTACTTCACGCTGGTATTCTGTGCGGTCGTGGTACCACCCCGGTTCGAGCCGGCCCATCCGTGCGACAGCAATTCTGCCGCGTGGCTCTACCACTGTTAAGTATTATATTATGTATGTATATTCATATTTAATATTTAATGTAAGTCCACAGATATGTTATGCCTACTCAAAGCACATTTTCTTTTTCTTTTCTTTTATGTTTTTCAGTAAGTGAATGTATACTCTTTTGGGAAATAAATTTCTTAAACCTCAAAAATTAAAGGGAGCTCCCCTACTAGAAATGTGTTTTACGATGGTACGGAACCCTAACATGCGCGAATGAGACTCGCACTTGGCCGGTTATTATATTTTGTGCTACATACTTAAATTGGTTTCTTGTTTTCTTTAATTTCTATAAGAATAACTTACAACAGGCTTTACAGGTTCAGATACAGGCGCTACGTTAACCACAATAAATGATACCAGCAACTCTATACATGGTTATTTTTCAAATAGTAGCCAAATTTATATCTGAAGTTCACATAAATACATTATTATATATCGATAATAGATTTTTTGAAAATACGAGTAAATAAAGTTTCTACTTTTATATGAAATTATCGCAAATTGAATGGGATTTATAGGCAACAGGTCTTACGCGCGCTACTGTGTGTGTTGCCTACTGTTGCCTAGTGTTGCCTACTGTTTACTTTCTTAGCGACACGCTTATTACTAATGCTTAAGATAATAACTACATGACGCGAATTATGATTCCATTTTTCCTTTTACACTTGTAACAGGCTTAGGATCATCGTAATAAATAAAATTAAAATTAAATAGTCTTAAATTCTGCTAAGACTAAGTTAATGTACATTAGCTCTAGTCAAAATAGGAGTAAGGTTATACCTAGGCTCATTGCGCATGACCACCAATGCCTACACAGAGGACAGGTCCCAACTACATGTAACTGCGAAGCCATAGACCTAGTAGAATCACAGGCCTACTTAGGACTCGTCATAGATAGTCGACTAAATTGGAAAGAACATATTGAGCACGTGTGTGATAAACTTCGTGGTATGCTTGCAAAATTTTCCGTAATTAAATATAAAATTCCATATAAAATTCTTATACAGCTATATAAATCACTGGTGGAGTCAAAAGTAGCATACGGCTTGTCTAGTTATGGCAGAACGTACAAATCACATTTAGAACATATTTATTTACTGCAGTCACGTATTCTAAAAACTATAGTTCTGGATAATATTAAAAACCAATATAAAGAATCAGATTACCATAACCTTTTAAGCCATTGCAAAATTATACCGATACACGAAAAAGTAAAGTTTACCCTTCTTGTAGAAGAATTTTTTCATGAACAGTTAAAAATTGCCGTTACCCGTGATTACTCCAAAACTCGCAGTTCGGGAAAACCTAAATTAGCCTTACCTAAATATAATAATTTATATGGTAAACGTACTTTAGAATATATGATCCCTAACCTAATTAACCAGCTACCAGGATCTTTAAAATCCGAACTGACTCAAAAAAATATTAAATTAAAATTAAAAAACTACTTCATAGATTGCATCATAAATAATTTAAGTAATACATAATATGTATTACCAATAAATATTACGATAACGCTTTAAAACAAACGTCCTGTATATACAATCCATGAGCATTGCATCCTGTATTAGCAGATCACGCACTTAACAAATAATAAGTGTAATTTTTTACTTTACCCTCATATTCATTATTGTCGGCGATATCGGTACACGGTAAAGTTTCTATAAACTTATGATTGTACCGTAATGTAATGTGTAACTAATAAATGTAATGTTATGAAATAAAAAAAAAATTTACATCAGAAAAAAAAAAATATTTTTTGCTTATCTACTACGTAACCAGCGACTGTCCTTATTATGGCGTATTTAAAAAATTGGAATAAATTATTTACAACTAATTTACCCAATCAGTCTCAATATCTAATACTGACACCTCAAAATGGAAACCGTTTTTCTTGTAGGGATGTGAATAACCAACACACCACATATTAATACATTTGGCACGATCCTAACACACCTCTCTCGCCTCCTCCACATCCATATACCTACGCATACATGCTCATCATGCGGTTAAGGGTACTCTTAATATGTCCTAGTTTCAATATATCGTCAATTTGGTCGATAAACTTTTGCCTAGGGCGTCCTTTCCCGACTCTGCCGTTCACTTCTGCAACATAAACTTGCTTTGTCACTCTTTCCTCATTCATTCTTTCTACATGACCAAACCACCGAAGCATTCCTTTCTTAATGCTGGTCACAACATCATCTTACAAACCACACTCTCCTCTTATCACACAATTTCTCACCCTGCCATACAGGTTCCGCCCTAACATACTCCTAAATGACCGCATTTCTACAGCATTTATTCTACTCTCATGCTTCTTCTGCCATGCCCAATTTTCACTGCCATTTATTAAATTAATAACCGTTTATTCACATCGTAAATTCAAAGTAGCGGATCGGAGAGTGAAAGAGTGGCTTGACGCCGTCGGACGATCGGATCGACTGGCGAGGCGAGAAAAACAAACCAGTTGCCCTCGTGCAGTCGAAGGCTTCCGAAAATTGCCGAACGGTCGAACAGCCACATTTTTTATGCATAGACGAGCACGTTTTCTTCTTGAGCAGTTTTCAACTTCCGTGAATACAGCAATAATTTTACTGTGGCGGTCTTCATAACATTGACGTAAACACGACTTGAGTTTGCAGACCATAGTATAGGCGTCTCCGTGCGCAATGAAAAATTTTATGTAATATTAAATTATCGGTGATTTATTTGTGTATTTTATTATGTATGTTTAGTATACAAAAAGCGATTTGGTTGTATATACTGTAAGCTTATATTTTATCAATAAATGAATATGAATCCAACTATTTTCTGCCGACTTCCAAAAAGGAGCCGGTACTCAATTCGACTGTATGTTTTTTTTTTCGTTTCTTTTTTTCGTTTTTTTTTTATGTGTGTTACCTCAGAACTTTTTTCTGGGTGAACCGATTTCGATGATTCTTTTTTTATTTGAAAGCTGGTACTTCTCGTGTGGTCCCATATGAATTTGATCAAGGTCAGACCAATAGTTTTTAAGTTATTCTTAAATAACTTATATTGAAGTCGGCTGTACAAAATTTTTAATTTTAAATTATCATATTCACTATTTAAGTTATCGCTCACTGCACTTGAATAGTTTTATCTGTCAATTCTTCTTCGATTGGTATGTTAATTAAGCCACGTACGTTAATTTCTTGTCGCAGTAAAGACTCAATTTAGTATCTTTGCACATCACGTAAACTTTCATTGCTTTAAATGTTATATCGCATCATTTCATATTATCCGCGGTTCGAATATTTTCGTAACGTTACGGTAACGAATCGTACGAAATGAGGTCACGGTCAACACTGTCAGCTGTTGGCCGAGAGAACGGACGTAGGTACTTATGGGCGCGGGAAGTCGTGAGACAAGGTTTTAGATATTTTTATGAATGACAACCAGTTAAAATAATGCATTACCATGCATTTTAAATTTAAAAGATAAAAATGACAGAAAGTTAGAGATTTTTTTAAATTAATATTTCTTTACCATTTTCCTATATAACTTATTCTGAACCATCTCTGCAAATTTGGCCGGTTATAATAACCGGCATAATAACCCTGTTCGAGACACTCACAGCACCGATTGTAGTACATCACTATTAACATGGTACAACCCTATTGTAACCTTTTTATAACTGTCAAATCGACATTCACTCTCTTCTATTAGCGAGCCGTGTGCAGTACAGACGCAAATTTTGTACAGTTTTTAATTATACAATAAACAAAGAAAAATTTAATGGTTTTCAATTAATACAAATCCCCAACAACCCTGTATAGCATTTTGTTATCGTAAAGAGATTAATCACATTAAATTTATTTCGTTTGTCTTTTTTGTGCTGACTTTTCACGAGGCGAAGGTCCATAGGGTTTAATAAACTGAATTTTCAAAATAAAGAGAGCGTTGCTTGTCATTTCGACGTTGTATCTCACCTTCCGTATGAATCCGTTCCTCATGCTTAGTGAAATTTACGGCGATAAGTATCATGATTTCATTGGTTCCATCATCATCATCATTATCATCATTACAGCCCTTCACAAGTCCACTGCTGAACATAGGCCTCCCCCAAAGAATGCCACAAAGCACGGTCCTGAGCCACCTGCATCCATCGACTTCCTGCAAATCTTACCAGGTCGTCACTCCATCTAGTGGGGGGACGCCCTACACTTCGCCTGCCGGTACGAGGCTGTCACTCGAGAACCTTTCTTCCCCATCGGTTGTCGGTTCTTCGAGCCATATTCCAATGATCATAATAAATATTAGAAATATAAAATCATTTCAAATGTGAATATTGGCTGTTGTGTACCTTAAGTAACTCGAGATGTTCTCTTGTGAGGTGCCGTACAAGCATGTCTTCGAGTACCTCCTGTGACTCGCTGCCACCCTCTTCCTCTAATTTACCAGACTCGTACAATGATGTGACATAGTCCCATCTTTGTGACAGATGTACCAACACTGGAAAGATATAAATATTTTTTTATATCTTACTTAGGACACTGATGAGGTTTATATCATTATATAGTTTAAACATCTGGACAAAACATGGGCATATACAAGATGCATACAGACGCACAATGTACATTACAATGGTTATAAAAATGTCGGCTTATTTACTATCTCGAAATTATTTCTACTCCTTTTATTTTTGTACGCCACTCTTACATCAGCTGGAATTGACAGTTTTTGATTAAAAAAAAATATGTATAACTTATTATGGGATTCAGGACAGCTGATCATTTCCGGATCAGATTCCGGGTCAGGGCCAAAATTAGTATAATTGGGTTTTTAGTAAAGAAATTCTTAGTAGCAGCTAGGAGTCATGAGGTTGGCGGTGTTTTATCCTCGAGCCTCGGAAAGACGTTACGCCGTCAGCTTCTGCTCCTAATCACTTTCTAGTCGTGTCGGATTGCCGTCCTATTGGAGGAAATAGGGGATGTACCTGTGCTTGCGCACACAATCGTGCACTATAATCCTGTCCTGTGCTGATGACTGGTCGTCTCCGCTAAACTGGTCGTCGTGACCAAAATTCGGTCTGGAAGACATGGACCACGCTCACACAGAATACTAGTGAGAAATAGTAGCATCGGCGTGATACGGGGTGGGCAGTGGTGTACCAGTGCGTGTTTGCGTATGTATGTGTCTGTGTGTGTGTGTGTGTGTTAGTGTGTGTGTGCGCGCGCGCGTGTGTGTGTGCATGTGTGTGTGTGTGTGTGTGTGTGTGTGTGTGTGTGTGTGTGTGCATGTGTGTGTGTGTGTGTGTGTGTGTGCGTGTGTGTGTACGCACTGAAGGGCGCGAGGCGATCGAGCAGCGGCAGCGCGACGTCGGCGTGGTGCGCGGGCGGGCAGTGGTGCAGCAGCGGGCGCAGCGCGGCGCGCAGCACGCGACGCAGCCAGTGGTCGGGCAGGTGCTCGGGCGCGGCCAGCAGCGACTCCGTCACGCAGCGCGCCAGTCCCGCCGCGGCGTACAGTTCGCGCCCCAGCGATGCCGCAGCCGCGCCCACCAGGTGGCATACCTGTACAACACACCAGCAAACCTTTATATTTCTAAGAAACTTCTAAGAAAGGGTAAAAGAGTTATCAAAATTAACAAATATATCAAGATATTTGACTGTACAGCTTTTTGTTAAGTGCAAGCGTGTTGTCGTGCAAGGTAGTTCTGCATGCAATCTTGTAGCTCGGCGACGAGCAGATGCGTCGTCGCAGAGACCGAGTAGGTTGCGCCAAACGTTTTCAGTTGGCGAATGAACAGATATTGTCGTGGTGCGGGAAGGGCGCATGCGGCACTCACGTTGTCGTGCAGCGTGTGCAGGTAGTTCTGCATGCGGTCGTGCGGCTCGGCGGCGGGCGCGTGCGGCGCGTCGTCGCGCAGGCCGAGCAGGTTGCGGCGCTCGGCGGGCGGCGGCTGCAGCGCGCGCGCGTGCGCGGCGTGGCGCAGCGCGGCGGCGTGCGGCGCGTGCAGCTCGTGCAGCGCGCGCGCCAGCGCCAGCGCGTGCGGCAGCAGCGGCAGCACGTGCGCGCCGCACGGGTTGCGCCACACCGGGTTGCCGGACGCCGTCACGCCCGCGCCGAATCCACCACGCGACGCTCTGTTGATTTTTATAAAGAACAACATTGACAAACGAGTACACACTCCACCTGATGTGTGTGCTCGAAGTGAATAATGTAACCAGTAGATATCTACATTTATCCTCTGATAGAATGCCTAGTTTTCAGCAGAAGGATCTCCAGATAACGAGACTCACTTAGTTAAGTATTTTAGCAACGTATATTGAATATAAATGATTGTATTGTATTTGTATTGTAATATATAATGCGCACTAACTTGTCGGGGTCGGCGGGCACGTGCGTGCGCTTGACGACGCCCAGCAGCAGCGCGAGCGCGTGCAGCAGCGTGCGACGCGCGCGGCCGTGCTCGTCGTCTGCCGCGTCGGCCGCGCCCGCCGGCAGCGGCGCGGGCGCCACGTCCAGTCCCACGAGCCGCGCCAGCGCGCCCGCCGACGACACGTGCGGGCCCAGCGCCGCCCAGCGCGCGCTGCAGTCGCCCAGCACCTGCCGCGACACACCACCCCTCAATCATATCATATAGAAATAGCCCATGCCACACTTGTAATAATATTTAGGTGTCAAACTCTTTATGTAGGCACAGCGCACCGCCCGATAAGGTTACCTTGTTAGAAAGGTGTCAATGAAAAAAGAGATGTGTTTTTCTGTGTATGACTTTAATTGGACTACTCTAATAACAACAATTGAGATTAATATTATTATATAATAAGTTGTATTGGCTGCTGTACATCACACTCACCGCTACTATATCTTACTAGACCAGCATAGACACCCCGCATACACACACCTATTACACCTAGTGTTTACGCCCTGAGTTGCCCCGACAAAGGTCGACTGGACTAGGGCCCATGAGTAATCCAATCGACGGGCAACAGAGGACGGGGCCCAAATGGCCAATGGATATGTAGTATCTAAGGCTAGGTAATTAATACGAACTTACCGGGTTCCGAATCGAGGACCAACCCCAAGGCGCGGTCAGGCGTTAAGTATGTGTATGTAAGTAATGTGTACATGTGTAACCTGACAGCCCGATGTAATCGGACAGAAGATCCACAGGCGCTGGTGTTCTCCCAATGTGCGCTCCCTCCAGTGGTAGTTCACTTTATCTGAACTCAAGTCTGACGTAACTTCACTATTTCAGTTTATCAACTTTATTGTACACTATTTTAATCTATCAACTTTATTGTACATTTAATTAACTTCAAACTCAACTAAATCCCCGTTAATCGTAATCAAACACGTGACACACGGCACAACTAATGAACGGTCGATCAAAGTTTAACTTCCATTTTCACTTAGCAACAAATTATTTCTAGAAACCGAACGCGACCTTCTCTCGTGTCACAAAGTTCAGCGTTCCACACAACAAACTAGAATTCTTTCGTACGATATTAACAGGCCACACAAGCAAAAAATGCGTAAATATTGCAAATACGCTTCAAAATGCAATCGCTATACAAATTGACGTAAATTACTTGCAAACAAAGGTAAGTTAATTTAATCAACTAACACTTAGACAGGCCCCGTTATCGCGTAAACGCACTAAAATGATAACTCAAAATAGAAGCGATCTTAAAGCGACCTCACGAGTCTGGCGAAAAAACTGCAATAGTAAATTCCACACGTCTCAAAGACCGGACGTTGATCGCAATCAATATTAACTTCCAAAACAATTAACCGACTCGGCGTCCGCGCAGATAATCTTTTTTTCTAAACTCAACAAAACTACTCGTCGGTGCATAAACTTGCTAACAAAAACCGACACTATTTAGAGGTTATACGGTACGCGACCACGCTGTTTTAGTAACTGCACTGCATTAATAACTTCCAACGCGCCCCGCCCGCAACCAACTCCGGCCTCGCGCAAACGTCAAACCGGTAGGAATGCACCGCGCCGAGCACCCTCTAGCGTCAATTCTTAAAATTAGCGTTTGGCGCGAACATCTAGACTGCCAACGTCGCACACATTCTGTTTGCGATGTCGGTTCTGGAACGTAGTACATATTAGTCCAATGGTAGGAAACCTGCTTAGGATCCCGTCTGGGTAAATACCACCCTCTAAATTATTCTTGATCCCCCGCTGAGCGTCCACGCCGCTACCTTACTCTTCCTGAGCATGGTTACTCAGGCTGCCCCGCGTGTTCGGGAGTGGGGGGTTTCGGGTTGGTGTTAGTATAATTAGACTTGCTTGAGTTAATTGCAGTTGTCCAAAAGCTGCCGAAGCCATTAGAAACCATCTATACTAATCAAATTTACGGTATATATCGCGTTTACGAGCACTAGAGCAGGGAAGCAGTGAGCAAATCGACGAGTGAGCTCGGCTGTGGGTACCTCTGCGACGAGCGCGCTCTGGCGCTCGTAACAGCAGAAGTGATTGGAGACGAGCAGCAGCGCCTCCTGCAGCGTGACGCTCTCCACGGCACTGAGGTCGGGCCGCGCCAGCGCCGCGCGCACCAGCTCGTGCAGCCGCCCGAACACCGGCAGCAGCAGCAGCGGATACTGTGCACACAACAAACACCACACCATTACTGCTAATGACTGGGTCCATATTTTCTGTCACCAGGGCGGCGCCACTTCGGAATGAGGTGGAATATTTCACATATTTCATAGCGAGGAAGTTAATTTGTTAGGAAAATATTATATTTTATATAATTAGATGAGAAATGAATAAAAAAACCAGCCAAATGCGAGTTGGACTCACGCATGAAGGGGAACCCGTGCCATCGTAATACATGTTTCTTTCTAGTAGATTTTTAATTTATTTTTATTATTTGTTGTTATAGCGGCAACAGAAATACACATTCTGTGAAAATTTTAACTGTCTACCTATTACGAATGTTATATATGTTTCTAAAAAGCAAATTTATTTAAAAATAGAACTCTATAAGCCAATTGCTCAATATTAAAAAAAAAAACAAAGTTCTATTAATTTTCCTGCAACGCTTCCCGCACTTTTCATTTAAAACGATGGATCTTAATCGTAAACACTATGATATATTATGATTTTAAATTTGGTTTAACCGAAAAATTAAGTTTACAACGGTTACAATCAGCATTAGGGGACTCAGCTCCATCACGCGCAACAATTTTTAGGTGGTTTACTGAATTCAAAAGGGGTAAAATTAATCTTAAAGATGACCAAAGAACCGGGGCCCCGCAAACAGCAGTAACGGCAGAAAATGTATGGACTACTGAAATATTGGTGCGAGAAGACCCACGAATCACATATACAGACATCGAAAAGATTGTAGGCATTAGTTCGGGGAGCATTCATACCATCCTTCATCAACATCTTGGAATGAGGAAGCTTTGTTGTCGTGGATACCTCGTTTGCTCTCCGAAAGCGAAAAACACACTCGTGTGGATTGCTGCCATGAAATGCGTCTACGTTTTGAAAACGGGGCATCTAGGCGTGTTTCAGAAATCGTTACTGGTGACGAGATATGGTATGGATATCTATCAATATGAACCGGAAAATAAAAGGCAAAACTGCAAATAGTTCGCAACGTCGGCAAAAAATGGTGGCTAGTTTTTTTTTTTCACGAAGCGGACATTTGCCGACGTCAATGCTGGAAAATTGTAGGTCAGTCAACTCCGAATGGTATACTACAGTTACATTGCCCTAAGCTTTTCAAGCTGTGCTGGAGAGAAGACCAAAGACCGGGCTTCGGGGAATCATGCTGCATCACGATAACGCCTCTTCACATACCTCCCTTAGAACTAAAGCATTTATTGAGGAATCAGGTGTTGAAACTCTAAGTCACCCACCCTACAGGCCAGACTTAGCTGCTTGTGATTTTTTTTGTTCCCAAGAGTCAAAGAAAAAATAAAAGGAAAGTTTTTTTCAAGCACCGAAGAAGCCGTGGCTGCCTACGAAGAAGCGATTTCCGACCTGTCAGATCGAGACTGGCATGTGTTTTCAGTTTGTTTAGGCGAATGGAACTTTGTATAGAGCATGATGGAGAATATTTTGAAAGGATATAAAATAAATATTAATAGTATCTAGAATACTTTTTGTACATCTCAAAACTTATTGAATGACCTACATACAGCCCGCTGAAATACAGACGGACAGACGGACAGCGGAGTCTTAGTAATAGGGTACCATTGGTTACCCTTCGGGTACGGAACCCTAAAAACTACAGATACTCCTAAAAAAATATCTTTAAAAAGTGTTAAAAATATGTAAAAACTTAAAGAGGAAACTACTGGAGCATTTATATTACTCTAGAAACTGTTAATTTTTATTTAAAATAAACTTTTCAATTAAAGACATTATTATGTAACAAAAAACTGCCCCTCAGTCCCAACTAGCGACATTTGGTGAGCGGAGGATTATATTAGCCCCAAGGAGGTTATAATATAATATAGGGAGTGAGCGCTTGATTATTGTAACCGTTCCTCATTTTTCTTAGAAAGAGAGGCACCGAGTTTTGTATTTTATCTCCTTCTAACATTGATAATTGTTTACACAAAATATAAAATATTACCAACGTTTAGACAGTTATTGACTTAAAGTAATATTTTAGACGTATGCTAGAACGATAATCTTACATTTTTTATTGCTAATCATAGTTGGTATATTCCATATTGTATTTCAATTAAGCATATTATTAAGTAACCCGAAAAAAAAACCACTAAAACACGAATGTTTTTCCCTAAAAACTAGGGTATGTATTTTACGATATAGATGACAACACTATTTTAAAATTTGACTTTGTCAAAAGAATGAACATATTGTTTTTATTTTATATATAGAATAGGGTGACAAACGAGCACACAGTGCACCGGATGGTAAGTGGTTGCTGTGGCCCATAGACATCTACATCTATCCTCGTTTGCGAATCAAAATGCAATTGCGTTCTCACCCGTGAGGACTAAGATGGAATGCCTCTTTTCCAGTAAAAAGGGTCTCCGGTTCGCTACACTCACCATACGAAATACATCAGTGTTGAGCTGCTATTTTACGCTGGTATTCTGTGAGTACGTGGTCCTTCCCCTGTGCTACAACTATTCTACTAATATAGCTGCAGCATGGCTCTACCAGGTAGAAAACGCCTTATCCTAATCATTTGCTAAATCTATGTGGAGTTCACTCAATTAGGGAGCGTTAATTTTTCGGAACAGTAAAAAGAGTTTATAGGTTCTTTTCATCATCCACACGTCAATGGAAAACTGTAATGAAAAGTGTAGGCGTATTAGTCAAAAGACTCTCAGAGACAAGATGGATTGCTCATGACGCTGTTAAACCACTGCAGAATGATTTAAAAAAATAATATAAACACTCGAAGATATACATGATCGCAGCACCAACAGAAAAAACGTCGATACAAGAGAAGCAGTATCTACACTCTTACCAGCTTTGTGTGACTTCAGTTTTTTATGCATCATCATATCTTTCCTTTTGGTGTAAAATCCTAAAAGAAGTTAGTCACACACAAAAGTAAAAACTAAATAATAAAATAATAATCTAGATTATCACTTGAAAAGTATGTGATAAATATCATGGCACAAAAATTTTTTAGACCATCCCTACAGAGCAATGGATGATATTCTCGTAACATTTAGTGTTGTTCAGCCTTACACTCTGCTAACGTCACCAGATGAAGATCTTCGTGTAATAGTTCAAAATCTGACAAAAATCTACAATGATTTTTCTGCAGGATATAACCGGCGACGAGGTTCGCCACCCGTCACGTCCTGTCTCCCGGAGGGGCGAAAAGTGGATTGCGGAGGCCCGTCTGGCTACGCTGAATGTATGTGGAGCAATGAATGATAAGATGGATGAAGTATGCGAAATGATGAATGATAGAGGAATAGATGTGTTATGTGTAAACGAGACGAAACGAAAGGGAAGAGATGTCTGGAGTAGACGAGACCGAGCGGGCATGCCAGGGAGTCGGTGTCATCCTTTCAGAAAGAATGGGTCAATGTGTGAAAGAGTATGAATGTGTTAGCCCAAGGCTGCTGTGGATACGAATGAAAGTGGGCTTAAAGAAGTTGTTTGTGCTAGGGGTGTACGCCCCAGATATGTCTAAGCCCACTTATATCCGAGAGCAGTTTTGGGACATGGTAAGGCTGGTGTTGATGAAATGTAAGGAAAATGAAAATATTATTATGTTAGGAGATTTTAATGGAAGGGTGGGGGTGAAGAGGTCTGGTTATGAAAGGATATTAGGAACGTTTGGCGATGAAAGAATAAATGAGAATGGTGAAGACCTCCTCACCGTATGTGTGGAAAAGAATCTTTTTGTGGGTTGAGAATGGGTGAGTCAACCGTCAAATGCCTTTTGTACGCCGATGATCAAGTCATATTTGCATCGTCGGCGGCCGAGTTGCAAATGATGGTTACTTTAATGAATTGTTCATTGAAAGAAAGGGGTATGAAAGTGAACGCCAGTAAGACGAAAGTGATGGTTTTTGAAAGAGAAGAAAGTAAAACTTTATGTAAAATAAGAATAGAAGGGGAGTTGATTGAGCAAGTGGATGAGTTTGTATATTTGGGATGTTTATTTAGCAGGGATGGTAGATATGATAAGGATATAGAACGACGAGTGAACGCAGGAAATAGAGTGAATGGAGCTCTACACGCTATTGTGAGGAGTCAGAATGTGTCAACTAGGGCACGTATGGCAATTCATAATGCTGTGTTAGTACCCACTTTAATGTATGGTAGTGAAAGTTGGGTCTGGCAGAAGAAGCATGAGAGTAGAATAAATGCTGTAGAAATGCGTTCCTTAAGGAGTATGCTAGGGCTGAATCTGAATGACAGGGTGAGAAATAGTGTAATAAGAGAAAAGTGTGGTTTGCAAGATGACGTTGTGACAAGGATTAAGAAAGGAATGCTTCGGTGGTTTGGTCACGTAGAAAGAATGAACGAGGAAAGAGTGACAAAGCAAATTTATGTTGCAGAAGTGAACGGCAGGGTCGGGAAGGGACGCCCTAGACGAAGGTTTATTGACCAGATCGGCGATACATTGAAAATGGGCCAGATTAGGAGTACCCTTAACCGACGAGCGTGTATGCGTAGATATATGGATGTGAAAGAGGCGAGAGAGGTGTGTCAGGATCGCGCCAAATGGAAGTCCGTAGTCTCTGCCTACCCCTCTGGGTGACAGGCGTGAGTGTTTATGTATGTATGTATTATGATATATAATTTTGGAGATTTTATAACTTGAAAGCTGCCAGCATTTCTTCCCAAGAAGCGGTTCAATGTAATTCATTGGAGCTTTTGTCGTAAACTTGGGTTATTCTGAATCTGTTCCGAATCTAGCGCTGTGTCTAAGATTTTTACTATTAAGTTTCATGTGAAGGAAGCTTTTCAAAACACAAGTTAATAAAATCTTACTTAAGGTCCACAATGAGCCAAGCGCGACTAACCAATCTTTCCATTTCATCTATCGAAAATGACAAGAAAGTAAATTTTGATAATATATTAGAATATTTTAGCAAAATAAAGTCCCGTTAGGATGTATAGCATTTTTTGTTTTATTTTGGGGGGTGCTTGATAGAAAACCGCCCTGGGTTTAACCCACGCTACGCCGCCACTAGTTATCGTAAGGTTTGATACTGTAGCGAAGCAATATTGTAATAAAAATCTTTTTCTTTTTTTTTTTATAGGATAAGGGTGACAAACGAGCACACAGTCCACCTGATGGTAAGTGGTTGCTGCGGCCCATAGACATCTACATCTATCCTCTGTTACAAATCAAAATGTAGATGCGTTGTCACCCGTGAGGACTAAGATAGAATGCCTCATTTCCAGTAAAAAGGGCCTCCGGCCACCTGCACTCACCAAGCGAAACGCAGAGGTAAACCTCTACTTCACGCTGGTTTTCTGTGAGGTCGTGGTACTACCCCGGTTCGAGTCGGCCCATTCGTGCGACAGCAAAAGCTGCCGCGTGGCTCTACCACTGTTAAAATTTAATTCTTAATCGGAGTTTAATTATAACACTATTCAGCACTTTCCATATTGAAAAAAAATACGCAATTCGTTTTCCGTAATGGTGTATATACTTTTAATATCCTCAAAATATTGTATCATAGACACTCTATTAGAAAGAAATGGAATGCTTAATTCAGTGACTTTCGTTCATTTCAAGGTCACTGATTTAGGAACGTTTCTCTAGTATGAAGTGCGCACTCCCTATATTTTACAACCTCCTTGATTAGCCCTCATTACACGCTAATTCCTCACATTATACATTTTTATATTATATTATGCATTTGAAATAATATGTTTAATTAAGCTATTTTTTTTTGTTGCGGCTCTACATATAGCTCTCGCCACGCTACCAAAGGTTAGCTGGCAAATGTTATGAGATCATTAAAGTAATCTTCAAACCTTCGAACCAAGTTTGACGAGTAAGCCAGCCGCATGCCGCCGCACATTTTTAACGGAGCGCGATCGCCGGTCTTCTGGCGGTGAGCCTTCGTAGACCAGCGCCGCGAATATTTTGTCCAACACACGCAGCAGCAGATCAGCTCCAGCTATACCAACACCCGGACCTAGTATTGTGAGAAATATTTAATAATTTAATACTTTTTATGTAATAATTTTAACAGAATAGTAAACAAGGCGAATTTGAAAAATTCAACTAAGAGATAATAATACTTTCCATATTTAGTGACGGTATTGTAAGCGAACGGAATAAATGCAGCTAAATACATATTAGGACGGTGGAAAAAATTCTGCCTATTTTATATACAAATTCAAGACATTTTTTATTAAAGTTTAATTACGTTTCATCATCATCGTCATTACAGCCTTTCTTAAGTCCACTGCTGAACATAGGCCTCCCCCAAGGAATGCCACAAAGCACGGTCCTGAGCCATCTGCATCCATCGACTTCCTGCATGTCTTACCAGGTCGTCACTCCATCTCGTGAGGGGTCGCCCTACACTTCGCCTACCGGTACGAGGCTGCCACTCAAGAACCTTTCTTCCCCATCGGTTGTCGGTTCTTCGAGCTATATGGCCGGCCCACTGCCACTTCAGCTTACTAATCCGTTGGGCTATGTCGGTTACTCTGGTTCTACTGTGGATATCCTCATTCCTAAGTTTATCACGCAGAGAAAATCCGAGCATAGCTCTCTCCATAGCTCGCTGAGCGACCTTGAGCTTCCTCATACGGTCAGCAGTGAAGGATCACGTCTCAGTTCCGTAAGTCATCACTGGCAACACGCACTGGTTGTACAATTTCGTTTTAAGGTTTTGAGGTATGTCTGACAAGAAGATGTGTCGTAGCTTCCCGAACGCTGCCCAGCCGAGTTGAATCCGTCGATTGACCTCTCGGTCGAAGTTGGACTTACCTAGTTGGACTATTTGTCCCAGGTAAACATACTCGTCAAAAACTTCGAGCTTAGTGCTCCCAACATCTACCGGCATAGGTGTGACATGGACATTAAACATAATCTTTGTTTTGTCCATGTTCATCTTAAGACCTATCCGTTGGGAGACACTATTGAGGTCATTGAGCATGGTGCTTAGGTCCTCCAGCGATTCTGCCATAAGGATTATATCGTCGGCAAATCGAAGGTGAGTGATGTACTCGCCATTGATGTTAATACCGTATCCTTTCCAGTCCAGAAGCTTGAAAACGTCTTCCAATGCAGCGGTGAAGAGTTTCGGGGATATAACGTCATCCTGTCTTACACCTCTCTGCAATTGGATAGGTTTCGTATTCTGGTTCTGTACTCGGATAGCCATCGTAGCCCTACTGTACAAGCACTTCAGCACTTCGATATACCGACAGTTAACTTGGCACCGCTGAAGGGACTGCAGCACCGCCCGAATTTCGATGGAATCAAAGGCTTTCTCATAGTCCACATACGCCAGGCATAGTGGCAAATTGTACTCCTCGAACTTCACAACTTGCCGAAGGGTATGTATGTGGTCTATGGTGCTAAAGCCCTTTCGGAAACCGGCTTGTTCGGGAGGCTTGTTTGTCGTCAAGTCTGCGTGCGAGACGTGGCTCGGAATGGAAATCGGTCTGTAGTTCTTGAAGAGAGCATTGTCACATTTCTTGAAGAACAAGACCACCGCACGTCTGCTCCACGCCTCCGGTGTAATGCCACCATGGAGGACGGAATTGAAGAGCTTCTGAAGGACTTCAAGTACCGGTTTTCCACCCGCTTTCAGAAGCTCCGTTGTAATTCCATCCTCGCCTGGGGCCTTGCCGTTTTTAAGATGCTGGAGAGCAATTCTAATCTCGCTCTGACTGACGTCCGGGATATCTTCGGAATAGTGTCGGATAACACTCGCTCTTGGATCGTTACTCACATTTGCGTGTGGCTCCAACGATGACGTGTACAGCTGTCCATAGAACCTCTGAATCTCACTCAAAATCTCAGGTGCCTCGAAAACGATGCTGCCACACTCGGTCTTCAGCTTTGACAGTTGGCTCTTTCTGGCAGACAGATCTCTGGCTTATGGTGGATGCATTAACACTTCCCAACCAAGCTCTCTCAATTTTGCAGAGTGGCCAAAGATGTCTGTGGTCTGGTTTTCTCATGATGAAAGATGAAGTGAGTACCACTCCTTTTTTGTCGATCAATTCCAGCCGTTTTTTTCTCAATTTCTTGCTTAAGTCTCATTAGTTGGTGGCAGTAAAAATCTGAATCGATGGTTTTGCCCAGCGGTAAAAGCATAATAACCGATGCCCTTACAATCCCACCATACACACAGTATCACCTTATTGTGTGTTAGTCCAGGTTTCGCTACAGTCTGTGGAGCTTGACTATCTTTTTAGCACATTCTTGTCGTAGGTGATCCACTTTTCATCACCAGTTATCAGTCTTTTCAAAAATGGTACGGCTTCACTACGTTTTAATAGAGAATTGCAAATTAGTACATGATTCATTAGTTTTCTTTCAGTGGGCTTGTGTGGTACTCAAATATCGAACTTGTTTGTATAGCCAGACTTTTTCAAATGGGTCAAAACTGTTTTGTGGTAAACCCTCAATTCCTCGCCTATGTTGTAATTATTAATATGTTTTATGAGGGCGACCAGTGCGAGCTCCATTTTTGAAATCAAAATTCCCATCAGAACCAACTTTGTGCTACTCTTACTGACACTGCATTAGGTACATGAGTGGCTTGAGTCGCATGTTTCTCTTTTTTGTAATAAAACTTCAGAATGTATCGAATTTCTTTGTTAGTTTCACTCATTTTAGTGGACAGAAAAACAATTGAAAAATGACGGAAAAGTGTTTTTTCCTTTTTTTCTTTTTCTTAATGTCCTATACGTATTGATATTAAAACCAGTCAGATAGAAACAGTACAACCAAAGATTTTTTTCTTCAATTATATACAAACAAAATACGAAGAAACTTTTACCTTGAAGGTTATATCATCTTCAAGGTTATATCTATGCCGCATCATGGCTTTTAATTTTTTTTTTGTTATAAATACCGTATGTATTTTTATATGCATTTAGTAAACAGCTGTTATTTTCACATTACAAATAGACACTACAATTTTATTTATTTGTATAGATAGGTTGTATTAGATTTGTGTCTGATTAATTGATTGTTTTTAGCATGAAGTCTAAAATCCATAGATTTATATTTACAAAAATATGTTTTTTACTACATGTGCAAGATAACATAATCATTACATATTTTATAGTTTAGTTATATATTTTTGAGAATGGATGGGATTGGAGGTATCTTTCACGAGGCAAGCCCGGATATGAGTGGGCAATAGTCGAGGCGCTATTAGGTTTGTTGTTCAGAGGGTGCAAATATGGAGAGACGGGTTGAGCGCTCACCCGCCAGCTGGCTGCAGGCGCAGCTGAGGAAGACGAAGAGCGCGGAGATGAAGGAGAGCAGCAGCGAGAGCAGCAGCGGCGCGCGCGGCTCGCAGCACACGCAGCGCTGCAGCAGGCGCAGCCCCGCGCCCACGCACGGCCGCGGCTCCGCCTGCAGCAGCCGCGACAGCGCCACGTCCAGCACCTGCACCCGTACACTCTAAACTATAATCATACCTACATCACACACTTAACAACATGTCTAACCACTTCCTAATTCTGCCTGCTTAAGCAGCTACAACTTCTACTAAAATAAACGAACGCCTGCAGATGCACAATTGCATGTAAAATGTACTATGCAGCCACGACAAGCATAGGATACCATTAAATGACGGCGAGAGATTACACAATTCCGTGGATGTCGTAAGTGTAGGCAGAGGTAAATGAGACAGGAGATGAGCAGCAACGTCTTCCTAATAACAGTTAAAACTTTTAAAAAACACTGCACTTCTCAGCACACCTGCCAAACTGATAACTATGGCAAATAGGGGGGACCTTAAGAGTGATGAATTTTGGTAGGCTGTTTTGAATAAATGACAGCTTTTAAAAACCAAAAAGTACATTTTTTTAGTTCATATTTCAGATTAAAAAATAATTATCTAAAATAAATGTGTAGTAAAAGTAATTATAACGCAAACACTAATTAATATTAATTTTTCTATCTAATGTAGTGCATAGATATGAAAAGAAAGGTAAATTAGAATGCAATGTCAGGGAAAGAGCTACAATTACAATAGAATCAGACCCAAACCCGAATTTATTTTTACACAATTGTTGGCCGTAATGGGGCGTCGTAATAACGTAATACTCTCGACCACGATGATGTAATTATAGTAGCAGCAAATTAAACATCAATTTCAAAGACAAAAATATTTTTTGTTCAATTTTGAATTCATTATAAACCTTACTAATATCAAAACCTATCATCAGTTCCAAAATTGAGAATGGACTAAAAACTGGCGTCATCACCAAATGACATGGTTACCAATAGTATGTTAAAATTACTAAATGCTTCACATAAGACTTTAAGATTATCCATCCATTTAATAATAAAACAAATGACATACCTGAGATAGCGCCTCCCATTCCACGTGAAGAGGGTAGGAAGCTTCTATATTTGGTGGGCATGTGTCCACTTTGTCCAGAGCCGCTTGTGTCCATTGCTCCACATATGCCCACGTCACTAATGGCGCAGCCATCATGCAATACCTAACGTGACATTAAAATATAATATTCTCTACAAAGTATAGAAAGATAAAAATGTGTATATTCTAAAAACACAAATTAAGAGATAAAAGTACAAAAGTATTTTTAAGGCAGTACTTAAAGCCTTGACGTTAAAATTAAAAGTTGAAGAGGGAAGGATAAGGTTGATTGGTTTTCTGATATTATAAACAAACCTGAAGCTATCTAGTATTTCCGTCCGACAGCGGCTGAAGAATATTGCAAACTCCTGTTCACTATCATAGTCCATACAAGCATATGCTACAGCGTCAGATACATTGTTATTACGAGATGATGGGTATGACACCTGAAAACAAAATAATTATTTGATTATGTCAATTATATGTTTTGATATGACAGTGACTAATGAGATCCACCAGATAGTAACTGATAGTAATGGTTACTGAAGCCAATGGACACTTGTAAACTACAAGCCATGACTGCTATGAATATGTTATCACTTGAAATACCTCACAGTTCACAGCCTATTACATCTACAATTACAATGATACTTGCTCCCACAACCTTCAAATAGGAACTCAATCGCTGTTTATTTGACTCCTGGTCAGAACTAGAGCCTAAGCACCCATTAACGATTTTTATTATATCATTGATAATTCTTATAATGATAACACATCTCTGATCCGGGATGTGAGTAAAGCAAGAACTTGTATAATATAATAATTTTTTACACTAGAACTTGTTGTGATATCTTTCACATAGTTAACAATAACTGGTTATATAAGTAAAAGCTTTTTATAGAATAAGAGTTCAAACGAGCAATCAGTCCACCTGATAGTAAGTGATAGCTGTGTCCCATAGACATCTTACATCTATCCTCAATTAAGTATCAAAATGTAAATGCGTTGTCACCCCTGAGGACTAAGATGGAATGCCTCGTTTCCAGTAAAAAAGGGGCTCCCTTTTTTACACTCACCATATTTTATACTGGTACTAGCTCGCCAGGCAGACGTTGTTCTGCCCTTTCCAACGACCCTTCCTATAAAAATCCTTAAATTCGTAATAAAACTTTTTGAGGGTCATTTAGCGGGATAAAAACTATCCTATCTCTCAAGTTGGACTAAACTGCACACAGTGTGCAAAATTTCATTGAAATCGGTTCAGTAGTATAGGAGTCCATCGCGGACAAACAACGTGACACGTAATTTTTATATATAAATATTATGTAAGGAGAGTGTGGTCCTTCCCTGGTCTCGCCGACCAATTTGTACTATAATCATAATATAGCTGCAGCATAGCTCTACCACACAAAGCTTTATAGCATATAGCTTATAGCTTTCCAGAGACCATAATACATTTTAATCGTCATTTGCTTAGAGGAATTTAAAGGAAGTTTACCAAACTAGCCTCATTTCTTGTGACAGAAAATAATCCAAAGAGAACTCAAAAGAAAATAATTTACCTTTAAAACTTTAGGAGCAGCAGCTTGTAACCATCTAGGCACTACTGCCATTATATGAGGCAATTTAGATATCTGGTCATGTTTCAAAAAGGCTAACCAGACTGAATTAGCAGTGTGGGCCAAGGTAAGAGATGGATGAGAAGTAAGTAGCAGCATAGTCTCTAATAGCACGGGCAGCCAAGCGTCAACATTTGTTGCATTGCTCCATAATGTAGTCAGTTGTTGTGCTAAGCCTGCTAAAACCTGCAATGGTAAACTTTTATTTTTAATAAAGAAATAAAATCCATTATTTTCTTATATCTTTTTCAGATATGAAGCTAAGTACAATATCATTGATTATGATTAGATGATTGAACTAGTAATGAAATTACATAGATAATTCTGTGTTATAGTGTATGCAGCACTTAATATTTTGCATAAGTCTACTGCACTATCTACTTTGCCTAACTGAAACAAGCTACTAAATCGCTAAAATTTTACAGACAAAGTTCAGATCTACCTGCCCATTATGATGGTTTACATCCAGCTATAGAATATGATGACTGATAATAATGATTCAATTAGTAAACAGTGTATCAAATTGTGGATTGCTGGTTCTATACCAGTTAGAGCCAACATTTCAGAAACATTAACTTTGCTGTCTTCTACTACTTTTTACTTCTGTTTTTAATACTGCATTCGATCCTACACTCATAACCTCTTAAGCGTCCAGTTGTTCATGGGCGGCGGTAGTCACTTACCATCAGGTGAGCCGCATGCTCGTTTGCCCCCTCTGCTATAAAAAAAATGTTTTGAATTATTTTTCTATTTATCTTTATTTTTTTGTAGTATTCGAAAAATTCGAAATATTGGAATATTACTCTTCATGTTATTCAAATAGTATGTGAGGTATAAAACGAATATCCGAATTCTGAGCCCTATCAGTATAGCATCTCCTAGATCTTTTTGAATTCAGTTTATTATAATTGTACAACATATTATATTACGGTACTTTATAAATTTTTTTCTCTTTATTTGGGATAACAAACAATTGTACAATACAATCTTATCCCTAAATGTAATATGCTTAATAATCATACAATCAAAACCGTTATCCACTATGTAGTCACTATGTAGTCAAAAAAATTATTTAACCACTGGTTCGGAAAAAATCTGTCTTGAGAAGAACTAGCCAGTAACCCAGTGATACTTTTTTAATAAAAATTTACAACGCATGTTGTTTAATTACTATACATAGGCTGCACTAAAAGTATCGGGAATGGAATATTTCCACTGTTCCTGCCATATTAAAATCTTTTTAATTGAAAACTCATTGGTTTTAAAAATCGAATACCATTTATTTATTTAAAAAAAGATTCTCGGTCTTGTCACAAGGTTTTGTCAAACTTGTTTAGTCGTTGAGAAAAGGGAATTGACTCGAGAAAATTCAAGAGCGATAATTTATTATGACTTTCGAAGTGGTTTAACACAAAAACAGTGTGTTGACCGGATGATTTCTGCATTTGGTGATGAAGCCCCATCCAAAACCACAATTTATCGCTGGTTTGCTGAATTTCAACGTGGACGTGTCAAGCTCAGTGATGATCCCCGTCAAGGTCGTCCAAAAACTGCAGTCACCCAAGAAAACGTTGATGCTGTGCGTAAGCTGATTGAGGAAGATCGACATGTGACATACCGCGAAATTCAGGCAACTTTAGACATTGGCATGAGTCAAATACAAATAATCTTGCATGAACAATTACGTGCAAAAAAGTTGTTTTCCCGATGAATACCGCATTCGCTCTGTGAAGAGCAAAAAGCGGCTCGCGTTACTTGGTGCGTCAGAACTCTCGAAAAATTCCACGCAGGATCCTCAAATGTTGTATACAACATCGTATCAGGTGACGAACCTGGATATACGCGTACGAACCCGAAACAAAAAACCAGTCACGAGTTTGGGTGTTCGAAAATGAGTTAAAGCCAACAAAAATTGTACGTTCACGGAGTGTTGCAAAAAAAATGGTGGCCACGTTTGTCTCCAAAACCGGCCATGTTACGACTATTCCTCTTGAGGGACAAAGAACGGTTAATGCAGAATGGTATGCTAGCATTTGTTTGCCACAGGTCGTTTCTGAACTCCGTAAAGAGAACTGCAACCGCCGCATCATCCTCCATCACAACAATGCGAGTTCTCACACCGCACACAGAACAAAAGAGTTTTTAGAGCAAGAAAACATAGAATTATTAGACCATTCGCCGTACAGCCCCGACCTAAGCCCTAATGATTTCTATACTTTCCCTAAAATAAAGAATAAATTGCGTGGACAGTGATTTTCATCACCTGAAGAAGCTGTGGACGCCTACAAAACGGCCATTTTGGAGACCCCAACTTCCGAATGGAATGGTTGCTACAATGATTGGTTCCATCGTATGGAAAAATGTGTCAAATTTCGCGGAGAATACTTCGAAAAGCAATAAATACATTTTTAAATAATAATGTTGTGTCACTTCCTTGATTCCCGAAATTTTCAGTGCCGCCCTCGTACTGTACTTTATTATTTATATCTAATTGAATTATATTGTTGAATGTATTTATATGTGTACTAAGTATGTGTATGTATGTGTGTGTGCTAATGTGTACAGTATCATTTTTCTATTACAAAAATGTTAAAGTTACAGCCTATATACGTCCCACAGGTGAGCACAAGCCTCCTCTCATTTCTGAGAGGGTTTTAGAGCAAGGAAATATCGGCTGCGATGCCCCAATGCGTGTTGGCGAACTTCACATTACTTCCAAAATATTTTTTTTCTTATTTCTGACATGCAGGTTTCCTCAAGATGTTTTCCTTCACCGCCGGGCACGTGGTAAATCAGCACTTAAAAATGCAACTAACAATCTCATTAGTGCCGGCGGGGATCAAACGCGGGTTGCTCGTGTACTATGAAATTTACAGCGAACGCTAACCATCTGAGCTACCACGGCTCTGTTGATATTATATTATTAGATAGGTATATCAATATTTATTTTTATACTGCTTTGAATTCAAAAACTTAGTATAATAGGTATATGACATGGGTATATTATATTCTTTCAGAGATACTCGCACATTAATTTAGTTTCTGTTTACTTTTCTCCGTATTTTTGTCATTAAATTGACTACATAGTGGATAACGGTTTTGATTGTATGATTATTAAGCATATTACATTTAGGGATAAGATTGTATTGTACAATTGTTTGTTATCCCAAATAAAGAGAAAAATTTTTATAAAGTACCGTAATATAATATGTTGTACAATTATAATAAACTGAATTCAAAAAGATCTAGGAGATGCTATACTGATAGGGCTCAGAATTCGGATATTCGTTTTATACCTCACATACTATTTGAATAACATGAAGAGTAATATTCCAATATTTCGAATTTTTTGAATACTACAAAAAAATAAAGATAAATAGAAAAATATTTCAAAACATTTTTTTTTATAGCAGAGGGGGTAAACGAGCATGCGGCTCACCTGATGGTAAGTGACTACCGCCGCCCATGAACAACTGCAACACCAGGGGAACCAGGGGAATTGCAGATGCGTTGCCGGCCATTTAAAAAGGAGTAGGCTCTTTTCTTGAAGGTCCCTAAGTCGTATCGGTCCGGAAAAATCGCTGATGGTAATCGATTCCACAAGGAAGTCGTGCGAGGAAGAAAACATCTTCTAAATCGCGGTGGACCGCCAATCATCCAGATGGTGTGGACGGTATCGGGAGTTCTGCCGCGATGTGCGTTCGTGAAATTTGGCGGCTGGGATTAATCCGAACAATTCCTTCAGAGCACTCCCCGTGGTAAATGCGAAAGAAAATGCAAAGGGATGCAACATCTCTTCACAGTGACGTCGACGATTCGAGCCGCTCTGTGCTAGATGCGGTCAAGTGAAAGGAGCTGGCATAGGGAAGCCCCTGCCCAGAGATGGGAACAGTGTTCCATGTGAGGCCGAACCTGCGCCTTGTAAAGTTCCAGGTGGTGTGCCGGCATGAAATACTGTCCCGCTCTGCTGAGCACGCCAAGCTTTTTAGAGGCAAATTTGGCCTTCTCTTCCAAGTGACCACGAAACTGCACGTCACTCGATATGTCGACTCCGAGGATTCCGATACTGGCTGAGGCGAGAAGGGGAGTGCCTTGAAACTGAGGAGATACGACAAAGGGGTTCTTTTTAGCGGTAAACGCGCAAACTTATGTCTTCTGTACCCTAACAGCGCTTACCACCATTTTATTAATAAACTACATTAATGATAAATTGACTTACTTTGAACGTTGACATTGAACTAATTGACGTTGAAGCACTTTGCGAAGATGATAATGATGATAACGAAGCTTACGGAAAGAAATAGCACAATAAGCCGTGAACTAGCTGAATCAATGAAAACTCGCATATTGCAAAGAAGATCTTTAGAACTGACAGGGATCTTAGAATATCTGCACAACCACTTTTAGATTTCATCAAAAACCGCCTTCTGATGCATTTCTTAATCCCTCAAATGAGACGATGGTTGAAACAATAACCTACATCAATAGGAAATATTTTGACACAGTATCAAGCGACATTACTTTCGATGAAGAAGATGAAGTCACACTTTCTGATTTACACAACAGCGGGAAAGAATGCTTCAAAATTTTCTTGCTAATAAAAGTATCCAAGAGCAGCTGCAACATCAAATTGATGATATGTTGATTAATAAGATAACTTCATCCCCTTCATCTACATTTAGTTCTAATGAACACTTAGAAATAGCAATATGTGTAGAGATGGCACCTTATGAGGCTGGAGGTTTTAAAAATGTACATTTAATGAGTGCATATAATTTTTTGTTAACGATTCCTCCAACAAGTGTAGAATGTGAAAGTGTTTTCGTCATATAGGATGACATGCCAGCGCCTTAAATGATGACACTGACTGATTGATATTATCAAAGCAAGAAGTATTGATTAATAACTTTTTCATAAAGTTTTCAATTGTTAAATATTTCTTACCTTTTATTTATAAGTACATAGATCATAATATTGAAGTCAGATTTTTTATTTCTTAACTTTAATTAGAATAATTTTTTGGTTTGCTAAAAGAAGTCAATTTTATTGTAATTTTAAAATGTTAACTTTATGTGTATGAATAATAATAGATGTTTTTTCATTTAATTTGTAATAAAAGAAAAATTTGTAGAAGTTGATTAAATTGTTTTTTCTCTTAAAACATTTAAGAGAAGCATATTTGGTATTATTTGTAAAGTCTATCTCTCAAGTCTCACAGTTAGTGATTTATGCCAACAAAAAAAAAACTGTTGTTTGTCTTATTTTTCTTTTCAAATTCTACCTAAGGGTCAGTGTGCTATAAAACATCCACGAATTATGTGCTATATACGTAGTCAGGTCATAAGTATTGTCACACAGTAAAAACTTTTCTTTTAGAATGCTGGCCACAAAAAAGTTTATTGAATTCGAATTTCGAATTGTTCATGAAAATTAAACTGTATACTTTTAGAATTTTACTCATTTTTAAATATGGAGTGGACGCTTAAAGAAGACCGTGTTGCAGTTATTGCGTTGCATCGTTGCGGTTACGCGTCATTTCAAATTTTTGACATACTGAAAAATTTGAATATAACCAAAAGATTCGTTTGTCGTACCATCAAACGATACAATGAAGACTCTAGTGTAGATGACAGGTCAAGAAGTGGTCGCCCTCGGTCTGTTAGGACTCCAGCAGTGATAAAAGCTGTGAAGGCGCGAATTCAAAGAAATCCCAAACGTAAGCAGAAACTGTTGGCCCTTCAGATGGGGTTAAGCAGAACCACGGTGAAAAGGGTGTTAAATGAAGACTTAGGGCTTCGGGCATATCGAAGAAAAACAGGACATCGTTTGAATGCTCGTCTAATGGACCTGAGACTGAAGAGATGCCGCGCTTTGTTGAAGCGGTACGCGGGAAAAAAATATCGGGAAATTCTCTTTTCGGATGAAAAAATTTTACCGTAGAAGAGAGCTACAACAAACAAAATGATAAGGTGTACGCACACAGTAGTGAAGAAGCGAGCAACCGTATTCCGCGTGTCCAACGAGGTCATTTTCCATCCTCGCTCATAGTATGGTTGGGAGTTTCTTATTGGGGCTTAACAGAGGTACATTTTTGTGAGAAAGGTGTAAAAACGAATGCAGTTGTGTATCAAAATACAGTCCTGACGAACCTTGTGGAACCTGTTTCTCATACCATGTTCAATAAAAGGCACTGGGTATTCCAACAAGATTCGGCGCTAGCTCATAGAGCGAAGAGCACACAAGACTGGCTGGCGGCGCGTGAAATCGACTTCATCCGGCACGAAGACTGGCCCTCCTCCAGTCCAGATTTGAATCCGTTAGATTACAATGGCATATGGCAACACTTGGAGGAAAAGGCGTGCTCAAAGCCTCATCCCAATTTGGAGTCACTCAAGACATCCTTGATTAAGGCAGTCGCCGATATTGACATGGACCTCGTTCGTGCTGCGATAGACGACTGGCCGCGCAGATTGAAGGCCTGTATTCAAAATCACGGAGGTCATTTTGAATAAACTTTAGTGTCATAACAATCTATGTTTTGTTAAGTTCATTTTGGTATATAAATGGTTACATAATGAATAAACTTGTTTCAATTATTTTATATTAAACATGTGACAGAATTTATGACCTGACTAGGTATATAGTTTATATGACATGCTTTTCCTTAAGTAAAAAGCATTCGAATAGTATATCGGGAACTATTCGAAACATTCGAATAGTAAAACTGAACGAATACTGCAAGCCCTATATACAGAGTACTTACTTAAAAAGTAATATGGAAAAGGCGTGATTTTAATGGTTATTTAAATTTATTGGCGGATTATTTAGTGTCTAACCTGTGAGAGTTTCTTCAGGAACAAGTACTGTTTCTCATCCACAGTGGCGATGCTAGAGAGCGCTGCACGGTGGATGCATGTGATTGCGTCTTCACTAAATAATATCATTAATGGTTTACGCTCCTTAGTCTGAAATTAATATTACATACATTGTCAATAAATAAGGCCCCTAATCGATAAATTTAAATTTCGGTTAATCATAATGTAAAAACAGGACAAAAAACTACACCTGTACATAGGGCACTGTTTTTACATATGTAAAAAATAATATACTACATGAGTTGATGCACAGTTATTTTTGTGAATTAGGGTTAGTAATCTAGGGTTAGGGTTAGTAATCTTGAATTGTATATATAACAAACTTAATTCATGAATTAGAACTTTATTGTTTATAGATCTTGTGTTATTTATCTGAAGGTCTGAACAAACACCAGCGGTATAAAAAAGTCTAGCAGGTTAGCTAGTTAGCATATTACACATATTAAGTCAATTTTGAAGGTTACTTCTGTATAATTGCGAGTTCCTGTCGCCATTGTAATTGATGACTTTTATTCATAAGATATTTTTTTACAAAGAAAACACCCCTTTATAGGACATATAAAATTTAGGTATTTTATGCCTCTTCAAGTTATTTTTTCTTTGATTGTTGTTTCTTGGTTTTTTTTTATAGAATAAGGGCGACAAACGAGCACACAGTCCACCTGATGGTAAGTGGTTGCTGTAGCTCTTAGACATCTACATCTATCTTCATTTGTGAATTAAAATGTAGATGCGTTGTCAGCCGTGAGGACTAAGATAGAATGCCTCTTTTCCAGTAAAAAGGGTCTCCAGTTCTCTACACTCACCATACGAAACACAGCAGCATTAAGCTGCTATTTTACGCTGTTATTCTGTGAGAGCTGACCCATTCGTGTTACAACTATACTATTAATATAGTTGTAGCATGGCTCTACCATGTATGAGGTTGAGAATTCTCTTCTATATAATCAATAACCAGTCAAGTGCATGTGTCTAATACTATAGAAAATCCATAAGTGCATGCCTCATGAGTGTTTCATTTAGTTTTGATGAAAAAAATAAATTACCAAAACTAATCGATTACACAAAGTATAAAATTGATATAGGCTGTATGGTACATTTGTCTTTTGTCTATCAAGGTCTAAGAACAAAAATGAAAGCGCCTTTAAATTTTTAATAGCAATAAAACTTATAAAACTTGATAATCATTTTATTAACTTACAAAACAACATCCAGACGTTCACGTAAAAAAAATTAAAACTGTTTTTTATCAAAGTAGCAATATAAAATGATTTTTTAGAAAATATAAGATGGATTATTCTTGATATATGGCTACTCATATTATCGTGTAAGTGTAATATGGTTATGATAGAGGAATTTTAAGACCACAAAATTTCTTGACCTTGACGTGTTGAGAATAATGCACTACCTAACGAGTTGAATGTAAATTCAAGAAAAACAACTTTCTTCTGCGTGAATCCCATATCTCTGGTGCCCTTTGACCTACAGGACCCAAATTCAAACTCGATCGAGCTACTACCTCAAGGTATCCACATACCAAATTTAAAGTCAATCGGTCCAGTGGAACGGAAGTTATCGTGTCGGCATACAGACTAACAGTCTGCCAGCTAAAACCATTAACTTTCTTTCAATGCTACGCAGAAGGAAGTTAATAACGCATTGCGTTATGAGACGTGCAATATAGTAATATGGTCATATTGTTATGTACTTTAAATATATAATTTTCATTATTATTTTAATCAAAGTATGTATCAGATTTTTTTAGCATAATTTAAAAAGTTTAAGCACTAACTTGAGAAAACAACAAAAATATTTTTGTAGTATTTTGATTTTATTAAAATTGAGACAAATAAGTAAAATATTTTAAGAATGTAAAAGTCAATGATAAATATAGAAACAAAAAGTAGGACAAAAAATATATACTGTTACTATTATAAACATATACTGATTTTTTTAACTTACAGAGCCTTTCCTATTAACAACTTGCAGTAGGCATTCTGCAGCTGGCAGCTGGAACACATCATCTTGCAACAAAATGCATAATATCTGCAGTAAGCGACCATTATTCATCACCACATGATTCGTCGATACCCACTCCACGAAACCCGTCAGAGTTAGTAATACAACCTGGAAAATATTATTTTTATTACTAAACAGGTTATTGGCACAATTGACAATTAAAAATCTGGCAATCCATTTGATGGTAAGCGGTTATTATAGCCCATGGGCATATAGAGTTAACTTCAAGCAAAGCCTAAACTTATTTTATGTATCTACTACAATTGATAAGGAAGAAAGGTTCTTGAATGGCAGCCTTATACTAGATGATGAGTCGACCAGGTAAGAGATACAAGAAGGAAGTCGGAGGTGGCTCAGGCCTGTACTTTGTGGCATTCCTTGGAAAGGCCTATGTTCAGGAGTGGGCTTATGATGGGTTGTAATGATGGTGATATACTTTTGTGGACTAGGATGGAATGTAACTTAGTCGTGTTTTAATTAATGTTTTTGGGCTCCCATATATATACCTCAAATAGAAACAATACCTGATTTGCAGACTCATAAACACTGGACATGTCTCTCCTTCAATTATAATATTAAATATTGAGACATGATATAAAGATAAACAGAAAATGAGGAAATATTTTAATGTAAGATTTGCATAAGTTAAATCTAAAATATGAATATTCTAATAATATAAGTTATAATGACCTGCACAACACGGCCATTGCTAGCTGCTGCTCCATAGTCCCCTGCCGCGGTCTTCTCCCGAAACTCTTGAACATGGAGCTCGATCAGACGCATGAAAAATGCGAATATCTCCGCCATGTTGCTCGTCAGTGCTTGATAAATGTCTTTGCGGCGTTGATGCTGTTCCAGTGTCTAATTTATAAAAACAAGAAATATAAGAAAATTATATATAACTATAAAAATTTTATATTTTGTGTTTTTGTTAATGGTTGTGTCTGTGTGTGCTTTTAAATGGTCAAAAGTGCATTTTTAGCATCCTGCAGATGGCCAATTGCAATTATTTTAATCTAAAATCCTAAAATATGCAGGAGCTGGATGCTTGGTACTGTGCCTGTCTATGTGTTAATAGCCATCTACCAAATTAATTAACCATGGCATGCTTTACTTTTTAAAAGATTGTGTTCAGTAATAAGGTACTCTGTTCACAGGTTGATGATAATGGTACTGATAATCAGGTACCAAAGCTCAAGCAACTTCTAAAAAAATTAATCATCTGAGAGAGAGAGAGAGAGAGAGAGAGAGAGAAAGAGAGAGAAAGAGAGAGAGAGAAGATGATAGGGATAAAGAGAGAAAGAAGAGATAGAAGAAAAATTTCTATATGTTGACAGAAACAAATTAAAAACTAGCAAACCTGTAATGTAGCAACATCTTCAACCAGACGCAAAAACACATGCAGCACAATCTGTGTATGCAGATGTCCACGAGCGCATGCGTCACTAAGCTCTGAGAGTAGTGTGGGCCATTGCTGTGGCCACTCACGCTTGATCATTTCTACTATAACCCGAGCTAGTGCATCGTTTAGGTGTCCCGTCTCCCATCCACCCATGTACAGAAGCTTCATAGCATTTTCCTGCATTGAAAATAAACATTCTACCTTTAAACTCTGACAAGAAGTTTTTCATGACATTAACCTTGGCCAATACTTATCACAGCCATGGATTAAAATGGGTGTCAGTTAATTATATTATATAATTATATAAATAGAAAACCAAGCCATGTGTTCATTTGCCTCCTCTTATTTATGAAAACTAACTTCCCAATGAGCTAGCGACTTGAAACATTATTTATACCACAGAACTAGATTACATGCCATATTAACTTTCTTTCTTGTTTGTCTCTTTTCAACTAACTTCCTGGTGAAATGGAGTAAAAATTTTAATGCATCTTTTAATGCCTAGGAGTCCATTTGAGTAGGTAACCCCCTATTTCTAGAACCAAATAGCAGTGTCTGCACTGCTGTTTCGGTCTGAAGGGTATAGGAAATCTTCAAGGTTGATTCTTTGCTTGAAGTTGGTTCCAGGTGTCCTTGGGCTGCAGAAGAAACTTACCAACAAGTGTACTGCATGTTCATTTGTCACTGCAGTTTATCAAAAAAAAACATAGCTCAAAACTGAATGACAGTAGACACTAATTGAGTGAAGAAATTATATTTTGGAAAATAAAATTTAGAATCAAAACCTTGTCAAACCTACTCGTGAATGTCTAAGAGGTGGCAGAGGGAAACAAACCAGGAGATGGGCGGCAGTCTGGTTGCCAACATGCCTGCTATGCAGGGCAACTATGGCAAATATCCCACTTATAAAGCAATCTATGTTCAACAGTGGACTTTTAATAGTCTGTAATGGTAACAGTACAGACATGGACATAAAGTGTAATATTGTGAATCCATAGCTGGATACAAACTTGACAAAATTGTAGAAACTAATTTTGCTTACCTTAATAAATATTTTCTCAGCCTGTGTTATTTGTGTCCATCTATACTTGACAGTGTGTTCCATTAACTGTAGACCAAAGTGCTTAACAACAGCCGAGTACTGATTACCGCTAGCCAGAAGCAATCCTGCTTGAGCACACCATGGAGAGTTCTCTTTAAAACTGCAAGGATGCAAGGAAGGTGTATATTCATTGTTCACATTAGTTTGAATATAACATATAATAAAGATTATGCTTTATTAACGAAAATAATATTTATTATGAAACTTGATAAACAGGGAAACAATAGTTGCAGTAGCTCATTGGATAAGAAACTGCCTAAAACCTCCATAGAACTTAAATAAACAGTTCAATCCTTACCAGCACCATTGTCAATTGTATTTTAAGTACTGATTTACCACAAGCTTGCTAGTGACAAGTTACATTGTAAGAAATCTGCCAGGCCAAAAAAAATATTCAGAGGACATTTGAAGTTTGCCAATAAACACTGGGGTAGCATGGCAGATGCTTTCTTGTCCTAAAACACCATCAGTAATCAAAGAAGACCAGTGCCCAATAGCTATATTAATTAATAGGTATATAATTTTTATTCCTTTCCTTTTATAGTAAATGCTATTATAAATGATCACATATTTATAAAATGATCATAAAATATATTTCTGGTAAGTACAATAATTAATATTAATGTTTAAGTTTCATTGGTTTATGATTTTAATTTTTCTATTCAACTTCTGTTTCCACTTGCCTTCATAATCTGTGTTTGCCTTTCTTTGGCAAAGACCTCCAACTGTCCCCACAATACTCTATTATCAGCTGTTCTGATCCATATGTTGCCGGGTACTGCTTTGATGTTATCAACCCATTTCCAGAATGGTCTAATTCTTTTCCTTTTCTTGTATCTCGAGTACCAATACATTATTATTTCGCTCCATTTGTCAGTTTCTGTAACTGTATGTCCTGTACATCTCCATTCAATCATCTTTATTGTGACCGTCACATCTTTTATTTATAGTTGTACTTTTTACTTTGTTGCATAATCTTTTTCCCATCATGCTTCTGTCCATGGCGTTTTGACAAATTTCTAGTTTCCTAATATGAGATTTAGTGAAAGTCAAGGACTGGCAGCCATATGTACGGACAGGTAAAATATAACTATCCAAAAAATTTAAGTTTCATAGTTGTGCTAATATATGAAAAACAATTTCCATTATTTCCTTTAGCTTCTTATACTACTTCTAAGCGTTTCCTATACATCTACTTGATGGTGAGAAAGATGGTGATTTCATAGGTTTTGATCTTTTTTGCTCGGAACCTTGATTGTTTTTCTAAAATAAAAGTAGCCTAAACTACTCCATATAACATTAGCTATCTGCCAGTGAAAGTCCCGTCAAAATCGGTCCAGCCTTTTCGGAGATTAGCAGGAACAAACAGACAGACAAAAAATTTCAAAATAGTTTTTTGTTATAAGTTCCGTATATACTTTCATATGTATTTACTAAAAAGCTGTTATTTTGACATTGGAAACAGACACTTCAATTTTATTATTTGTGTAGATGTATAGACATAGCAATCCACAGTGGCTTCGCACGGGTAATTTCTGGATCTCATCAACAGCACCACCTACCGGGTCCAATTGTAAATCTAAACCATGCAGGAACCCACTCAAATACACACAAAAAATCTCATCTAAATTGGTCAATCCATTTTTGAGTTTTAGCAAGACTAACGGACAGCAATTGATTTTTATGTATATAGATAAGGAATCCATTACTTACAATCAGAACCAGGAACTTTATCCTTTCTTTGTGTTTTTATAGCTGTCTTTTTATTTATTTTTTATAGGTTAACGGTGACAAACGAGGCACATAAACCACCTGATGGTAAGTGGTTGCTGAGGCCCACTTACATATGATTACGAATCAAAATGCAGAGGTGTTATCATACATAAGGACTAAGATGGAATGCCTTGTTTCCAGTAAAAAGGGTCTCCAGTTCTCTACACTCACCATATGAAACACAGCAGCATTATTATGATTTCCTTTTTGTGCAGTGCTTTAAAGATGGTTAATATGACTTTTAACTGTTAAAATAAAGTTTTGATTTTAACAGTAAGAAAGTTTGTGCTGCTGTTATTGATATATATCAAATTAAGTAGTCACCTCAACCTCTTTCCCTCTTACCAAGTTAAATGCTTTTTTAGTTGGAATTAATATTTACTAAAACTAATTTTCTTTTTTTAGAATGAATGACTATAATGAATACATTCCTTATTACAGTGGTTTTATTTTATGTGACCATAGATCACATCAGGTTATATTTATTTATCTCACTTTTTTGTTTCAAGGAAGTCACAAAACAAAATCTGATTTAGTAATTTTTTCAAACAAGCACTATCAATTCATATATAGTTGTTTGTCACAAAGTGCTATACATAACAGCTTAATTTAAATACTCAATTAATATGGAGGCTGCACTTTATATCTAAGTGTTGATTATTGACAGTTTACTTACTTAGAGTAAGTCTTCAACAAATTCATTTATATCCATGTTAAATTAACAATTTAAATTTTATATTGTTTTTGTTACATACATTTCTTTTTATTTCATTAAACACATGTTACTTGTCTGTATAATGAGTGAAAATACTATTAATTTCAGTAATTAGTTTTGGTTTCTGTTTCCACTGAAAATACCCATTTCACTTGGACACTATTTTTAAATTTTTATACCAATACCTTATCAATTAATCATTTAAATAAAAGTTGGATTATTGCAAGCAGTTATTACAGATTGCATATTGAGATAATGAACTTGAACTATGAAATAAATGATACCTTTCACAAGCATTGTAGGCTTGGTTTCGAGCATCATGTGATACAGCAGGATTGAGTGTGAGCTCGACAGCCCGACTTAACTCATCAGCAATGAGCGCCACCTCCCCAGCTACATCTCCAGTCACTTCTCCAATGTTCATTGTAGCTTTTGTTTGCTGTAAAATGGTAAACATTAATTTAACCAAAAACTTTTGTCAAAAACGTAATTTTTAATGCATAACATAATTTTTTGCTAATAATTTGTTACAAAGTTAGTAAAACATGCGAGTTCAAAACAAATTTTAACAGATGATTGACACATACCTACTATTCTGAACGAAATAATTCTCCATAGAACAGCATTCACATCATATTTCAGTATTATAGACACTGAAAAAATATCAACTTTTAATGCAAATATTATGATCATGCTATGTTCACGCTAAAATGTGAGAATTGACAATAATGTAAATGCATGTACCCGGTGCTACCTGTCACAATATTTAAAAATTACATTGATTTATATTTTATACGTACGCTCTTAGAACACAACGAAATACTTTAAGTAATCTAGTTTTACTTTAATTTTAAAACATATTTAAAGGTATTTTCAAAAGAAATATCTAAAATTAATAAGACCATAACAAAAGAAATACCTCGTGTCGTGCCTGATCATAGACTAGGGAATTAGGGATTAGGGATATTCGATATATACATTGATGCATCGAATTCACTCGATGTTTACAATACGAAGTTTCCGTATATACACTCTTATCTATGATACGAAACGAAGCATCGAATTGATCTGATATTGTGGAAGGTTGTTGTTATACTCGATGTATCGATGTATTTTTATAAAACATCGAATCAATGATAACCAGCCAACGGCACAGAATAAATAATAGTATTACGTACAGAGGTTACACTCCTTTGATGTTAACTGCTAGCAGTGGCGTAGCTACCCAGGGGCTAGGCGGAGTAGTGCCCCGGGACCCCCAAGCTAAAGGGGGCCCTCGGACTCCACGAACGACGTTCGAAAAATTATGTACTATCCTAGTTGTATAAAGAATTTTTGAGTTTTAACTTTTTGGCTCCTGACCGCAAACAGCTCGATTTGAAATTACAAAAATTACTCCCACTTCCAGAACATAAATTACTTCCACTTCAAGAAGTTAAAGATAATTTTCTACTTCGTTTTATTGGTTTTTTATATAGAAGAGGGGGGAAAACGAGCATGCAGCTCACATGATGGCAAGTGTAGACCATCGACTATTAACAAATACAACACCAGGGTATTAGTATGCGCGTTGCCGGTTTTTTAAAAAGTCGTATCAGTCCGGAAAAATCGCCGGTGGTAAACGATTCCACAAAGAAATCGTGCGAAGAAGAAAACTTCTAGTAAATAGGACAGTAGTGGACCGCCAAACATCCCGATGATGTGGATTTGTGAAATGCGTTGATGAAATTTTGTGCCTAGAATTAATTCGAACAATTCCTCTGAAGACTCCCTGTGGTAAATGAGATGGAAAATGCAAAGCGATGCAACATCTCTTTGTCTCGTCTTTCGTCTTCGTCAGTCGTCGACGATTCGAGCCACTCTACGCTAGATGCGGTCAAGAGGAAGGAGCTGGTACTAGGAAGCCCTGCCCCAGGGATGAGAACAGTATTCCATGTTAAGCCAAACCTGCCCTCCCCCCTCTTCGAAAGGGTTCCCGCCTTGTCGTGGCGGGGGTGCTTAGTAGACATGGCTTGGTCACCCGCGGTGAACAAAGAGGAACCCCTTGGCTGGCCCGTGGTGTAGGGCAGGCCCGAGGTGGCCACTCCGATGGGGCTTGGCGAGTCCACTTCAGGTGTGTCGGTGGGCTGCGGTGAGAGGAGTGTCCTCTTCCCCAACCGCTGCAGCCGAGGTGGAGTCGCGGAGGAAGTCTCACTCACCATACGAAACTCAGCAGCATTAAGCTGCTATTTTACGCTGGCATTGTGTGTGATGTGTGCGAAAGCGTTCCCGTGGCCCTGCTAATATGCGGCGAAGGTGGAACACCATGGGGTTTTAGTCGGTGCGAGTCCGAAATAACCCGTCCTTGCCCCCGAGAGGCGGTAAGCGTAGGCATTTCCCCATGTAAAAAAAGACCGAAAATGTAAAGTTGCAAGTAGTGTGCCGACATAAAATACTGTCCCCCTCCACTGAGCACGCCAAGTTTTTTAAAGGCCAATTTGGCCTTCTCTTCCAAGTGACCAGGAAACTGCACGTCACTCGATATGTCGATGCCAAGGATTCCGATACTGGCTAAGGCAACAAGGGGAGTGCCTTGAAACTGAGAAGATACGACAAAGGGGTTCTTTTAGCGGTAAACGCGCAAACTTGTGTCTTCTGAGGATTAAACTGGACTAAATTTAGTCGCCCCCAATCCGAGACTTTGTTCAGCAGACTCGACTTCAGACACAAGTTTGTTCCGGTACTCGGCGACGTTTTCCTGGAAAATATTGGCACGGCCGGTGTATAAAGCATCACCAGTGCTGTCAGCACCAATGTATGTTACCGGTTTGCAAAATGTCATTGGTGATAGCACGCAGGCTTGTGGCACATTGTAGCACGGAGTCTACAGCCATTTGGACGTGGTCGATGAGTTGGTCTGTGTCGGCATTACCTGTAGAGTCATCCGTAGATGCAAGGATGGTCGACACTAACCTTCAAGACTGCCGAGGCATCGAGAACAGATGTTCTCTCTAACGTATACGCAAACTCCAGCCCGAGACGCAAAGGTGTTCTAATTTGTACCCGGATAAGAGAGAACTGTCGACCGGAGAGGACACCCTGCGTTTCGGTTAGAAATAGCGAGGTCGGTTCCGCAGTCTTCAGATGTGTGACTTCGTGAACATTCGAATGAAATTCACGGATAGCGTGGCAGGGGTCACCTTTGTCTTATTGCTCTACTTGCCACGAGCAGTATTAGTCTTGAGCGGAATTTTGCCCCGCCCCTCCCCAGGACAAGCGAGGCAACCTGAGCACCCGCGCTAAGGAAGAGTACGGTAGCTTGGGCGTGGATGCTCATTCAGTGATTCTCCGATACCAGAGGTGTTGGTACCCTCCTGGGATAGATTGTTATTTAATTGCACTGTGGCAGCACGGCCGTAGCTGTGGACCGTTCGGCAATCGTCGGGAGACCTCGGCTGCGCTGGAGCAACCGGCTCGTTTTTCACCACCTGGCCAGTCGATCTGATCATCCGACGCCTTGATGCCGTTCGTTCGATTTTCCGATCCACGTTCCGATCCGCGACTTTAAACTTTGTAACTTTCACTTACCATGTGAAGTAAACTTCTACTTCACGCTGGTTATCTGTAAGGTCCTGGTCCACCCATTCATTACATTCATTCATTACAGCTATTCATTTCATGTCTTATCAGGTCGTCACTCCATTTAGTCTGGCCCACCCGTGCGAAAGCAAAAGCTGCTGTGTGGTTCTTCAACTGTTATGTTTTCTGCCTATATTATTAACTGTAATCTACTTCGTCATTTTTTATACGTTACACATAGTACTTCGTAGTAAGTAGCTACTTACTATGCTATTGCTTTATTAAGCCCTGCAGTGGGTGACAAGGCGCTGATGATGAAGTAGTTTTGCACCTTTAAAGTATTTATTTTAGTTTAAATAGGGCCCCAATTTCATTTTTACCCCTGGGCCCTTGGTTACATAGGTGCAACTCAGCAAAACGTGAGCATTGACGTCAACAGATGCAATCGGAGCTATGCAATATAGTATATTGAATATACCTTTACTTTATTTTTAATGTAATAATTGAAATTCATTCTAGATCTAGCAGCGATCTGATTCACTTTTATTTTAGTTGTAGTAATTATATTGTAATTTTTATATTATAATAAAGTATTTTAAATTAGTTTCGGTTTTTTTTGGGTTCTTCGGCTGCAGTTAACGTAATTGGCGCAGTCGGTAGGATACTCAAAAATTAGTTAGGCTATCGTAACTTTCAAGCTTTAAACGAGTATTCGAATCTACTACGGACCAACTGCAAGGCAAGAGGATACATCAAGACATCGATCCCGAGAAAACCGAATTTATGTAAGTACACCAGAATTTTATCTAGTGTTGCTCTAGTTTCCTAGTGTAAATCTTTCCTTTCGAAATGTTCCATCCAAGAAAATTATCCCACTGTGACACTACATCGCGTAGACAGTCACGTACGTGGCTGTAGACAAAGTTTAGACTATAATAGAGATTTAAGTTATTATTTAGAGTTAGATGTAATTACCGAGGAATCAAAAATGGCCCAGGATTCTGACACTATTTTCAAAGTTTTATGCCCAGTGCCTGAGTTTGACGGTAACCCTAATGTAAACTAGATTTATAAAATTATGTGACCAAATATGTGCTGCATATCTAAGTAATGATCTTGGCAGTGAACTATCGAACTTATGCCTGCTTAACGGTATATTAAATAAAATAACTGGACCCGCCGCGACTACTTTAGATTCAAATGGTAATCCTGAAAGTTGGCATGGCATTCGTACAGCTTTAATCAATAACTTTTCGGAACAAAGAGACGAAACGGCACTTTATATTGACCTCTTGTTAGCTACTCAGGGAAACAGTTCACCCCAAGAATTTTATGCACTATGTCACACACTATTCAGCACTATCATGACGTATGTTACGCTTCGTATATTATATAAAAATCTAATGAAGCAAGCTCTCGTACACGGTTTTAAAGGAGCCACTTGGCTCAGGAATACGTTACATGCGTCCTGATACCGTTGTAAAAGACTTGGAGTTTGTACAGGAAGATCTGAATGTTATGTACTTGCAACAACACGGTGAACCTTTCTTCGAGAGGAAACCTCAATCACCTAAGCTTCTCCAACCTAGCCATATGACCTTACCTTTGCAAAAACCATTTAGTTTTCCTGCATCGATGCCAATACCCAATTTACATTGACCTTTACATGTACCTCAACAACAAGGTTTTAGGCCTAACGTGCCACCACAGTATAACATGCCTACGCGAACTCACAAATGTTCCGCGCTTTGCCACCTAACCCCATAGTAATACGTTTAGATTACCAAATAGGAATCCACCCCATGACTCAGGTCTGAAGCTTATGAGTGGTGTTAGCCTTTACGTACCCAAACCATTGCCTCCGACAGGTCTGACCGGTCACGATTGGCGCAAATACGGTAATCCGCCGCCTTAAAATTGCTTCAAAAGTAGGGAAATGAATTTTAACGAATGTGCAGATTACGATAGTTACTATTATCCTGAACACCAATACGACTATTACAACTATAATGATAATGACGATTATACCAATACTGTGACCTATGACTATGACGACACACAGCATTACCAATACCATGACGCAACTGAGATAAACGAACAAGATAACGTACGTAGGTCACTCAATAAGTTTTGAGATGCTCGAAATTTAAAAATGGAACGCACCCGTGTTATATGTTTCTAATAAGCAAATTTATTTAAAAATAGTACTCCATAAGGTCAATATAAAAAAAAACGAAGTTTTGTTAATTTTCCTGCAACGCTTCCCTCGCTTTTCATTTAAAACGATGGATCTTAACCGTGAACATTTGCGCACTATGATATACATATATTATGGTTTTAAATTTGGTTTAACCCAACAATTAAGTTTACAACGGTTACAGTTAGCATTAGAGAACTTAGCAACAATTTTTAGGTGGTTTGCTGAATTCAAAAGGAGTAAAATTAATCTTAAAGATGACCAAAGAACTGGGGCCCCGCAAACAGCAGTAACGGCAGAAAATGTATGGACTACTGAAATGTTGGTGCGAGAAGACCCACGAATTACATATACGGACATCGAAAAGATTGTAGGCATTAGTTTAGATTACTTGTAACACGATTAGCTAACAACCCTATCTTAATGTATAACTCTAGGAATGTTAATTTTTACGAGGACGTGATCAACCATCGCAATGTTCAAAATTGATAAAACAACCTATGGAGAAGCCTTAGTTAGCGAACAGTATATCTTTAATTGCGTCATAAACGAATGTCTAACATTAGTGTCAAATAACCGCGGTATAATTTTCTCCCTAGATCGCCCAATATGTGCTGATATAATATTAAGTCCTCTCACAACGTTCAACCACTACCGCATTACAAAGAAGTATTATCATGTTTACGCACCGACCATCTAAATGCCGAAGAACACGCTAATTTAGAAAGATTATGTGCCAAATACGCTGACGTTTTTTATATAGAAGGCGAACAACTAATATTTACTAACTAGCTGTGCCCGCGACGTAGCTCACGTATACTTAAAGGTTTTACTTAAAGAATTTGTCGTTTAGGTAAGAGAATATTAAACGATTTATATCATTACTGTATCAATAAGTGGTAACAAAATAAATCATTGTCATCAAAGTTCTAAGTCGTTTATGATAGAGCTTCTGTATAAACAACGTTAGAAGTAGACTTAGCCGGGGTGTACACAAAAAGGTTACGGGGGCTACTAACGCGGGAAAAAGTAACATCGAGTTAGCCATGTGCAAAACAGTCAGTACTGAGGTGCACTCCTACAACGCGTAAAGTTTGACCTTGCGCTTTATTTACGGTCATCGCATAACACACGCTGATTGGGAACTGAACGCATTTAAGGTGAAAGCGCCAGGATAACCCGCAAAATTCAAATTTTCTTACGTTTTTTGCAATTTATAGGCCAGTGTCAGGTTGTATGTTTAACAAAATATGATTCGTGACCGTAACAAATATGTATTTACAGAATTATAATTATTATAATCATCAATACAACCGTCTATATTCGTATAATCCCATTGTATGGCTATTTGCAGAAAAACTCATTCAAAGGGATTATATGAACTTAAAAGGTTGTATTGGTGATTTAAATGAAAATAATTTTATAAACACGTACTCGTTACGGTTGCAAATCATATTTTATTAAACATACAAACTGACCCTGGCCTGCAAATTCCAAAAAACGTAAGAAAATTTGAATTTCGCGGGCCACCCTGGCGCTTTCACCTTAAACTGAAAGGAAAGTTATTTGTTACTTTTGGGCAGTGCTGCCAAATCAAAAAACTCATTCAACGCTAGGACAAGACAAAAAGCGCTAGATTTCATGAAAACAGCGCTTTAAAAAAGCCCTAGATTTCGCGCTAAATTAACTACAAACAAAGTTTTTTTTATTATAAATTCAAGAAAATATAATCTTAATAAAGAAAACAACATTTAGTTTTTTTCTGGCATTATTTTTTTGACGTATCAATATGTATCAATACTTCGCAGGACATCAACTTATAATTATAGCAATTGCTGTCAACAGTAGTTAGTACTGTACGAACAATTTAAATGTCATTAATTCTTTAAAAGTGCAATATATTTCGCAACTTAGTTTCAGATGTCAGCATCTAATTGCGGTTGCTATACAGTTTCTTTGTGTTGTAACTTCTAAGTAACTTTTAACTTAGCTGTGTTTAGTAACTCTAAACAACTGATTGAAACTGAATAAAGCAAAATAAATACGCAAAAAATAGTGCCAAAACCATGGACGAAAACTTTAAGAAAGGGGATTTCCCCGCTTATAGTCGTCGGTAAAAAAAAATCAAGTTGATCATCCTAAAGGGGGAGCCGGGAGATCCATAGCACAGGGTATCCTAGTTTAGACTCCAGTCTCCCATGCTCTTTGTTTTGTGAAAAAAGTATGTTTGAAAAAGATAAACTGCAATATACTATTTGTAGGAAAACTAATAAAGGTCATTATTATTATTATCGGTAATGTGGACTAACAGTGCTGCTATAAAAGAGTTAGATAACCCGCTAGACGCTACAATTTTGAAATTAGTGCTAAATACACCAAAAAGCGTTGGATTAAGCGCTAAGTGCTAAAAGCTAAGTGTTCAAAGCGCTAAAATGGCAGCATTGATTCTGGGTATATTATAAATACAAAATCACGACATTTCATTGCAATTTTGTTACTTTTGGTCGGGTTCTGTTGTATGGCTTGGGTAGATATAAATTTCTTCAGTATGTAAGTCTCAATACGATTCACCGGCGGAGAATCTCAACACCGCAATTCAGAAAAGGTTGTAATTTCTACAACTTCATCTATTACGTCCTTTGCTTTTTTTAATTTAAGGAAAACATCTCTTTTTGTGTTTTAAATATAAATAAATTATATATTAACTAATTATTATAGAACGATTATTTTACACACAAATCTTTTTATTACGATTTCTGAGATTTTATGGCGCCATTGTACAAATTCGAACCTACATTTCAAAATAATAATCATTACTTTCGATAGAATTAACCAATTTTAATAAAACAAAGATTAAATGTAACTCGAAGATGCGCTTTATGATTTTCTTAACGATTTCTTTGAAAAAAAAAGATGTTTACTTTAGACGTGATGCGTTCTTAAACAAACAGACAGACAGACAATTCACATTCAGTATAGAGCAAATACAGTTCGACCAACCGTAATATGTAACCACATCACTTGTCTTATTTGGGCAGAATCTCAGTGTAGAAGTAATGTTTTAGCCCAACAGGCATAATAACGATATGAGACTCGTGGAATTACAGACTGTTGCCTCTTAGTCGCCTGTGCGATACTTTATACTGCTAAAACAAGTGGAAGATTACCATTCTAGCTTCATTTGTTCATATTTTCTTTACCCTCCTAATTTTTTTTACCCTCATTCCCTACAATATATAATAAATAAAAACGAAGATCCCGAAATAAAATAAAGATATGGCGTAAAGGATAAGCATCCAAGCCAAAAATCTTAAAAAAAGTTAAAATGTCAATTTGAATTTTGTTGTTCTAAATGGTGCTAAAGTTGTTGATCAAGTTTTCGAATTTCTTACGTTAAAAAAAATTGATTATAGTGTAATATTTACGTTTTATGGTGGTTAAATGCTCTGAGCGGTTATGTTAATAGATGTAAGCTTCGTTTTGCGCCTATAAGTATAAGTCTAACATTTATTATGGACAAGTGGAATTCACTTGAACCGTCATTAGAAAAGCAGTTAAAGGGTCATCGGGGAGGAATAACCGCCCTGTTTTTTAATCCAAACGAGCAACAAATTGCTAGCAGTTCCTTGGATCATAGTGTTTTGGTAAAATTCAATTTCATGTTCTCTCTTTATTCTTACTTAAGATGATGAGATTGAAAAGTTAAAAAATATATGATCTTACATTCAGCTATGGGATCTGCGTGGAACTATGAGAAGTTACAGATTTCAAGGTCATGACGAAGCAGTTATGGATGTAACATTTTCGCCAACAGGAAAATATATGGCATCAGCATCTCGTGACAAAACTGTTAGACTATGGGTGCCCACTGTTACAGGCAGCACAGGTGTATTTAAAGCTCACTCTCAAACTGTCCGGTCAGTGCAGTTTAGTCCTGATGGTGGGAGGGTAAAGTACATATATACTATTTTTACAGCACCTTTTTAAACAACTCATTTTAATTTTTACTTAACTGTGCATCTAGGACCTTAGCATAAAATAATTCTGAATTTGTCTTTAATTAAAAATAGTTATGATTATTATTACTTATCAATAAATTACCTTATTTATTACATTATAATATTATTATCTTTAAATGACAAAAAAATCTATTTTTTTTTACAGATATTAACAGCATCAGATGATAAAATAGTTAAAATGTGGTCAAGTGAAAAGCACAAATTTTTAGCATCCTTTGTAGGACATACAAACTGGGTGAGATGTGCTAGAATGTCTCATGATGGCTCAGTAATAGCTTCCTGTTCTGATGACAAAACTACACGCTTGTGGAACCCTGACACAGGGGAATGTATTTATACATACAAAGATCAAAAGAGCTTTGGAATGTATTTATCATGGCATCCTTCTGGTTGTTATATAGCTATAGGAACATCAAATGGAAATGTTAAAGTTTATGATATAAGAACTCATAACCTTGTGCAATATTACAGGTAATTTTTCATATTAAATTATAAGCAGATATTATATTTCTATGAATAATCAAGTTTGTTTCTTTCTTTATCTGCCCATATAAGTACAGTCTACTAGTGTAAAATAGCAGCTTAATGCTAATTTGTGTTTTGTATGGTAGGTTTAAAGAACCTGAGACCCTTTTTACTGGAAACGATGTATTCCATCTCAATCAGGGGTGACGACACATCTGCATTTTGATTCTTAATTGAGGGTAAATGATGGTGTCTATGGGCCACAACTTCTACTCTACCATTAGATGGACTGTGTGCACATTTGTAATCCTTATTCTATGAAAAAATATATAAGTCCAAAGCTAGAGATAGGTCTCTATCAATCATCAATTTGATGTTATGTACCTAATAAAAAGAGTCATGTATTTTTAAATTATTCAGCTATAATTTTTATTATAAGTAATAATTGTCATCTGACTGAATTTTATCAATCCTATTACCATTACAGCCTAATAAAGTCCACTGCTGAACACAGGTTTCCCCTATAGATTGCTTTACACGGGGGGTATTAGTTATAGTTGTAATGCTTGGAGAGTGGGTTGGCAACTGCAGTTTTTTATTTTTTGTCATTATTAATAAGATGCTGCTGCCCATCTCCTTATTCGTTTCCCTCTGTCACCACTCACTACATCCATGGGATGATATAGGGTAGGAGATATTTCTACATCGCCATTACATGGTATCAATGGTATAGCTAACACAAATTAAGGGTAGATAATGAGGTAAAAGGCCTGTGCCCAGGGGGATGGTTGTTATAGATTGTTACTTTATTTTAATTTATCAGCAACTGATAAAAATGCTTTGTTTCAGCATTCATAGTGATGCTGTAACTCAGTTGGTTTTTCACCCTAGTGGAAGTTATATATTAACATCAAGCAAGGATGGCAAAATGAAGGTATTTTGTTGGTTTATACTTATAGATAATATATAACACTGAAAAAAACTTGACATTATCACATGTATCTATTTTCTACACATATGCATTTACTTGCTAAATAATATAATATTTTGAATTATCATAATAAAATTACATTTATGGTAATCTTAAATTCAGTATTTTTCATAGGTTACTATTATATTAATATAATAATGTTGTATTTGTATCTAGATATTAGATTTGCTAGAAGGACATCCAATATTTACTCTAAGTGGTCATGGTGGATCTGTTAATTCTGTTAACTTTTCCAATAGTGGAGATAGTTTTGCATCAGCTGGTGAAGACAAATTGGTAAATAAATTTTTCATTATGACTATATTTTTATGAGTATTGTTGAACTTATTTAAATTTATGTATATTTCTAGGTATTTATATGGAAAACAAATTTTACTGAGTTTGCTAATGAAACAAAGGAAAATGATGAACAAAATCAGTTGCCAACACCTAAATTGCCATCACAGAATGCCCCTAATAAAATGTCGGCTAGTACTGTGCGAAAAAATCAGGTTGTCAAATAGAGATAGCATTTGTGTAATTCTAGAGTAAAATACTTATCTGATCCAATCTTTTAAACTAATTAATAAAAATAAAAACTATTTAATATGTAGCACATGTATATAGTACTTCGTATGTTTCAGGAAATAATTGTGATTAGCACGTAGTCTTAAATCTAAACTGGTTTTGAGTATTACCCATACAACAATATTGTATTATAATTTAGAAATGTAGTTAGGATTAACAGATTTAAATAAAATTTGCTCAGTTGATTTTCTACTGCTTATTTCATTTAAGATCAGTTTTTTGTAGCCTCCCTCAATATTACTTTGAATACTTCAAAGAGTAAATTATAAAATAAAACTGATAGTAATGGAGCCTTGTTCAAGTGGATCAAATATTTTTAGTAGTTAGATGAGAAAATATTAATTAAATTCATCCATATGTCAGGGTGCAAGGTTATGGTATCAATGCTATCACAGCTCCAAGTACCCTGTTGTCACATTTGTACATCTTGATGATGCTTCAAGTATAACTGCAGAGTCTGTGACAATACACAAGGGGCAAGAAGAACCAATAGGAAACAGTACTTTTAATGAAGAAAGCCATCTTGACCGACATAATATTTCTATTCCCTTAAACATTACCTTTCAAAAAAATTTATCTAAAAGTGCAACATGCAATGGGACCCGAATATCAGAATGTGGCTCTTCTGAGTCATTTAGTGTTGGTCATTTGAGTCATATTCCTCGTGCACCTCCCAACCCTGCAACATACTCATTGCCATCAATAATTAACACATTTACTGGAGTTGAACAAGATGGTGAAGATTTGTTTGGTATGATTAAACTCAAAGAGACTGATGTATGTTATACAAGTGGAACAATTGAGTGGGTTGGGCGAAAAAGAACATTTCCAATAAATAGTGGATTTAAAGTAATTCCTGAAAGACGCAACTCAAAAAATGAACCATCTGTAAAAAAGATGAAGAAATTTAATAATACATTATCAAGCAGAGTGGGCAAAATAAAAGAATGCGACTGTGCTGATGTTTTACCTACGGTCAATACTATAGTTGATCATTTAAATGCCCTTCATGAAGCAGTAGACTTAGTTGACTTGAGACTAAACACATTAGAAGATGTTGCAACTGTTAAAAAATAATTACTAAAAATATTTTTCCTTATTGATATAGTAACAGATTAAATATTTGCGACTTTTGCCTTATTTTTTGTTGCTACATAAAGATACTTTAACTTTTAATATGTTATAACATTATTGTTACATAAATAAAACAGCTTAATTTGAAAAAATAAAATATTTATTAAAACATAACTTTTTTATTGAAAACACAATGATCTTTCAAAGTTAGTATACATTCTCTACGGTTTTTTACCTAACAGATAAAAATAATATATTTATAGTACACAAATATCAACAGTAGAATCATACCACGTTTTCATATAAATACCTGCCTTATTTTTCATGTGTTTTATACAAATCATTATTGTGTTCCAACATATGTAGTCTTCTTTCCAGTTTTCTTGATTACCTCTAGTAATTGGTCTGCACTTAGGGTAGATGTAACTGACACTTTTTGTTCAGGTAGACAAATATGGACATTATCGACTCCTTGCCCTTTCAACCTATTGAGAACTCTTTCTACTGCTCCTGAACAACCCTCGCATGTCATTTCTACATTAAAGATATGTGTCTGCAATAGGAGGTAATTTTATAAATAATATTCAAAACCAAAATTTTAGAATAAGAATTTGGTGAAAATTATCTTACCGATGACATGTTATTATTTTGTAGTATGTAAAACAATAGGGATATATATTACAAAATATAATAAAGTGCTTAATTCTGTAATGTAGCTGCCAACGTTAATGTAAAATATTGAATTTCTTATCAAGTAAGATTATAATCTTTTTATCAAAATTTGGACGTCATTTGACAGAACAGGTCACTAACCTCTGTGCACAGACTAATAAGAGAAAGATGCCTCTGCGTAAGCATCAATCACAGTCTGCACTTCTTTATAGTTTGTGGTCTGTGCTAACCTCTATGCAATAGCTATGGAGTGTAGAGTAGAAGGAGAACCATCTTATAAGGTGCGAAAGTTGAAAAAGTGTCCCCCTATATACTGAAAATAGAGGTTCCAAAATCTACCACAATAGCGCTGGCGTCTGAAAAACTACGATATGAAGATAGCTGTTTTGAACGGAGTGAAGTCAGCTGAATTCAAATATTTAAATAATTTCATCATTAGAGTAATTAGTAAAATGTCAGTATACAAAATCTCAACTATTTACGTAGTACAAAACCAAGCGGATTGGTTGGTCCTTGTTTATTTCTCCATCTTAATCTAATTAATTTTGGCGCTTTTTTTTAAATTTATCCTATGCTATTTCAGCGCCACCCTTATTGGACACGTTTTTAGGAACACTTTTCGTATATAGAGATGGTCCTCCTTGTACTCTACACTCCATAACAATAGCATACATGCACATACATGATAGTTGTCATAGACTTCGAATATACTGGTGTATACATAGACTTAGAATATACTGGCGTATAGACCATAGATAAATAAATATGTAGCAAGGTATAGACCACCTGAGCCCGAAAACGCGTGAGCAATTTTGAATTGTTATTGTGTGCGTTAACTAGTGATGTATATTTTACTTACAAGGTCTATCGAAAATATTTGTTAAGAAAGTGGTAAAAGGATTAAAAAAGTGTTTAGTGCATGAACTTCAAAAATTAACTGAATTTTACCATAATAGTTCTAAAATAATTAAAAACTATTCATACAACATGTTCCTGGTAAAAAGCTGAACCTACCTGCCTTTTGTTGAATTTCAATTAAAATGTATAAAATCGCAGGTGAATTTACAGATAAACTAAAAAAACTCCTCAATAATCAGATCGGAAAGTTATATTTTCGAGCTATGATCTTTGGGGACAAATCTTTACTGCTGTGGGCAGTTTCCCCGGAATTTCTTTTTTAACATATTGTTAATATAAATAGGTAGATACTTAACTAAGTAAGTGTATACTTAGTTAAGTATCTACCTATTTATATATTTTATATATTTATATTCTATAAAATGTTTTGATGTGGAAATAAAAACGGGGACACGGAGTACATAACGGCTGCTTTATTTTTCATATAAGTATTACTTGTGATAATTATAAACATTTATTAATTAATAATTAAATACAATATAGAACTTTATTTTAACATTCGACTTAAGTATAAATGTAAATTTAATAATTCAAGGAAGGAAACTTGTAGGAATCAGTTAAATAAGATTGCTCTGCTTAAAGGCCAATATGTTTATGAGGCTTCATCATGCTTTATGTTTATATCTTTCATCTGTCCCTGAAAAGTATAAAGTAATAATAAACTTATTATAATTTTAGCTGCATGAATTTTAAAACATAATGATCTTAACGCAGTAAAGTGGACTAAGTGTCTAAGGATACAGATGAACTCTCTATTCTCTCAATCTCGGTATGTTAAGAAAATGGTCACTCATTCATGGACTGACCGCGGCAAGTGCAACTTAATCTCGCAGATTAATTGATCTGCGCAGCTATTACTTAACCACGAGTTCCTCTTCTCTACAACTAACGCTGTAGGCGACGAACCGTCGCCTACAGCCTTAATCGACCGTTGTGAGTATCAAATACTATGGAATTTATACTATCATACCATCATTAATAAATATCTTTACCTAACTACGGTAAAAGTTTTATCATTGTGACTTGGGAATGTTACGAACTTAGGGTTCGAGACAATTAAAAACTGCTGAGTGAATTACCAAAATCGACACTTTAATTACAGAACACTAATTACAACTTAAAACCAGACTAATAATAAAACACAATTGTACTACAGATCACTTTAGTTCACAGTTGTATCGTTTAGAAGTATACGCATGTATCGCCAATTCAATACTGACTCGGTCATGGTCTATGCCGGCCTTATATAGGGCCTCAGATAGTTTTCAGAACCTTCTACTGTAGAAACATCTAGAATGTTCGAGTACATATCGCTAGTTCATATCTCCTAGTTCTGCTACTCGATACTAGAAGACGCTAGTGGTACCTAGTGTTGCCATGTGCAAGACATTAATATTGACGCGTAACAGGAATATAATCCGAAGTTCCGAAGCTCTGATGAAAATCTGTCTCTATATTTATCTAGGGTTGGATTTAGAATCGTTTGGCAGAAATTTCAGGGAGTAAGGCGTTTTATTTGATAGAGGTTTGGTCCTCGATTATAATAATATCACTCACATTAAAAGGCACCGTTATCGAATAAATGAATAAAAACTTTTATAACTTAAAACGCCTAATACATGCAAAACGAATGCAATATTACTGTGAAAGCTGGATAGCACACAGAATTTTGTGTAAGTACGACAAGGACGTAATACTAGTGTCACATTATTCTATATTCAAATAAGAAATGATTATAATATTATACCATAGAGATATATACCTATAGAGAGGGCATATTCCACTATAGAAATAATAGTCATACAAATATGTATAATATTGACACACACTTGTCAAAAACAGTTTTGTCTCTTTTAACAAAGCAGTTCCACCGAAAAGCCTAAAGACAAGGTGCGACAGACCAAGGACCGGACATTGGCAGAATTATTGTGACATAATCACAATACCAAGGGCCAAATAGACCAAATAATAATAATAATAACAAAGCAGTAGCTGCAATAGAAAAGAGAGACAACTACAGTTTGCAAAGTGCTTATTTCGGTAATACTTTCGTGTGACGTCATTAACTCATCCATGCGTGACTGCGTCGCCATTTTTAGCGCTAAGTTTTGTGGTAGATCTGCTGTCAAACTGTCAAAAAGAAGTGGCATAGTGTCGTCATTGATATAAGAAAAATAGAGGATAAGCAGTAAATTGCATATATATTTTTTGGTTATACAAATATCATGCAATTATGAACCTTGCCAACAAAAATATATCTGTCCCATTCTCACACGTTATGATTTTCAAATGTAAAAAAAGATAAGTTTAATTTTCTGTTGACAGTGTTCATAATTTCACTAAGCTCCACCTTGAAGCATGACGCCATTTTAGGATGACGTTATATAGTATAAAAGGTAGTTGTTTATTCTAACCCCAAAAGTATTGTTGACATTATTATAAAACATTGTGGCTATTTAGATATGATTTTAAAACGGGATGGTGTTTACAACAAGAAAACAAACCAATCTAGTTATAGTTTGTTTTGGGACATGAAAAATAAAAGTCAAGTCTATAGAAAGAGCATTGCAATGCAGATGGCAGAAAAATAGTTGACAAAAATTATAGCGTCTAGAAATAAGTTATATATAAAATGAGTTTTATTATTTTTCTATGATTTTTCAAATAAAAATGTATTTTAATTAAAGCCACAGAAAAAAAAAACATTTTTGGGAATATCAAATGACTGAAATCATTTTACTCTATTCAAATGTTGTCATTTAGTATATTCCTACTATTATGTGTTTACTTAAAAACACACAGCGTCGATATGAAGAATGTTTTGTGAACATACCTTTTATTCCCACGATGTTGGTAACTTGATTTATAGTACCTGCTTGTCACCGGGGAGGGCGCCACTTTCTTTACCATAAATGTTTTTGTGAAAGTATGGCACCACTGTAGAACTGTCAACTAGTCATAGCGTTTTGTGATTTTCCCGCGTGAATGCTAGAAAAAAATTCTCTTGCTAAAAAAGTGAGCAAGTTAAGAGTTAAAGTGAGTAAATTACGGAATTTTACGTTTATAATTACTCGCAAGTAGATCCGAAGAAAAGTTTCATAGTGAGATGGAAAAAGTAGACGATTCTTTAATGGAAAATCAGAGTGAGGAGTCTCCGCATCAGAACTCGTCTTCTCGCGGAGAGAATCTGGATTTATCGTCGTGGATGGAGACAGCGGAGAATCAGACTCGGAGTCTGAAAGTGAGTCCTTACGTCCTCCAAATAAAAGAATTAAAACCAATGACGTAAATTCGGACCCGCGGTTCGAAGCACTAATACACCAAGTAAGTCACCTTACTAATTGTCTTCAATATTATTTGCCTATAAATACAGCATTGCCTTCTACATCAAATACATTATTGCCTTCTACGTCGAAGGCATGCCCTACTGACAGTTCCGAATTCTTAGTAAAGCCAAATTCAAATCAGCTCAATTTAGGATAAGTCTTCACTGTTACTGACAATAACAAAGTAATTAAGAATGCATCGCAAAGTCGTTTGGAATCCTTAGTAAAATTACAACACTGGAACTGAGGAGTGGAAAGAGGTAAAATATTCTAAGGTCTTACAAAATTTTTTAGCCAAACCAGGTTTTATCGAACTAAAGATTAATGATGAATTGTGTCACCTGAATAAGGGAAAAGACTACTTAGCAAACACAGAAAAAGCTTTGGCTGGTCTTACAAATGGCTTGTTAGAACACAAGGAAATTGTACGGAGCAATTTACAAGAGATTGTAAATTGGTCAAATAACTCGTCAAGTGATTTGACACCAGAAAATCTGTTTAATAAGATTATGACAGTGTTTGGACCTAACACTCAATATTATAAGAATATGGAACAAATTGTACAAGTTGTCTGTGGGAATAGAACAGACTGCATAGAAATAAGACGAGAACGCATTTTATCAGAGATCTCAAATAAAAACCTACAAGCTACTCTCAGAAAGCTACCTCCAAGTGCAGAACACCTTTTCGAGCATAATAGTTTATTACCGGTGATACAATCTC